TACATGAAAATTAATCTTAAGAAAAACAAAAACTGTATTGGAAAGAGTAATAAAAAAGGCTTTAAAATCACTGTTAGGGGCTCCACTGGTAGCGGGCTTGTGATGTCGCTGCTTTAACGGCAGTGTGAGTGGCATTGTAGCGCCATCACTGGACTGCCGTCATGACCTGCGTGGTCATGACTTTATAATCACTTCTCCAGTTTGTGTCCCGGATTAGGGGTCTAGATAGCGTCGGAGGATTATCTACAAAGCATCTGATTCAGTCGCCTGCAGTCGTGATGTAGAGTCAGTATAACCACAGTGCAGCTCCTCTTCTCAATACATTGGGAGGGGAACTTCAAGAATCCCATCTGTCATCTGCCCAGCGACCACCGTGGACCATTCGCTGGCATTGCTACCCGCACTTCCGGGCACTGTGCCGCTACAGGTTTGATTGGCAAGTCGCGCATTCTCTTTACGGGATCCATCAACCCTCGACTCCGACGCGCAGCATCACAAGCGCACGCCGCCACCGTCTCGCCGCGCGTCCGCTGAGCTCCCATGTCAAGGGTCCCCAAGGGCAGTGGAGCGACCCAGTCAGTGAGGGAGACCAGGAGGCGAGGTCAATCGTATTTTTGGCTTTTGTAGAAGTGGCGCGGGAGAGACGCGGCCTCTGCTGCGTAGGGTCGGCTTATCCCACACTCTCGCCGCCACCGCCGCTCATTTGCAGGTTAATGGGGGCGCTTCCCACGCACGCGAAAACAGAGACGCTCCTCGGGTAACGGAAACATCCCCGCAATTAGCGAGGGCAGTCGACACCGAGCCCTGTAATAACTCGCGGCCGCTTCTGTCATTAGCGGCCCCAAACCTGAGCCAGGCGTGAGGAGTCGCGACGCCGCGTCTGTGGTCCCAGGAAAGGTTTGTCTCGTGGCAGGGGCAGCGAGGTGGGGCAGTGGTGGTGAGGCTGACCCACTGGGGGGCCCTGAGCAGACATTCCCTATCCACTGCGTCGGTCACGGTGCGCCGCGGGGAGCGCGGTCAATCGGCAACATCCCAGTGGCTCGCCTATCAAGCGCGACTGACGGCAGGGCAGGGTCACGTCTCCCAGCAGACCTTGGAAGGAAACACACAGCCACGCGACGTATATATTTATATCTAGTATCTCGTGACGAAAGTCGGTCCATAATAGGAGATTGGGCAGCGATTACATCAATGGTGCTGATTGTTGCTGGCTGCTCCGCATGTTGGGCATATGCTTAGCAAACCGTGATTTAAGTTGAAGTCGCTTGGTGGATTATTACGTCGCACGGTCGTGAGAGGTCGCGGCGGAGTGGAGAATGAGGCCTTCGTCCAGCAGTGGAATGACCATGGCTGCTGTTGTTGTTGGTCTAAAATGAGATGGGAACAAAAGTGGGATGTGGCGTGGGTGACACAATCTCTGTGGTCTCTGGGAAAGATCTCTGCCTCGTGTGTTTCGCTTTCTTTGCCTGAATCCGTGACCATGCGGTGTGGAAAATCGGATTGGGTTCAAAATCGAAATCGGATCCGATGTTTGGAAGAATAAAAAATCCAGAGTGGATCAAAGTGAGGAATGTGACAAGCATATAGAGTTGATCCAGTTGTGGCAGTGTGACATCCTGATTTATTTGATCAAAGACAGATGAAAACGATTTAAAACATATTTTAGCAGGGGAAAAGACACATACATTACGTAAAAGTACATTTGAGCGGAAATCAAAATACGTCAGTGAATAGGAATCTGCGGGCAATAGGCAGAGCTGTGGATTTGCATTGTTAATGATCTGCTAATGTCCCTCTGGCATCTCACGGGAGTGTCTTTGCCCACCCAGCTGGGTCGAGAGGCACTCCCCACCGCCATTCAGGGACATCACGAGGGTCGTCCTTCCTCTTGGCCGGTCCGGATCATGAACCACTCGACGTTGGTAAACACCAACACAACTTATACTCCACAAATGTGTATCCCAAAAATTGCTTGCGCAGTCCACTGCTGGTGGAAGAGTCGCCCACGGTAGGAATCTCTAGGGAGCCCCTTGAAACTGTCTATTTGAACAGAGTGTATCACACTCGTCATTGCGGGTTGTTAAAGGCAGGGAGGGGGCATTTTGATACTGTATGTGGGAGCATATACGTGCAGTACAACGATGGGGTTTGCTGCACCGCCCTCTGCTGACAAACGTAGCTACCGCGACATCTGCCTACACCACCTTATCCACGTCACACTCGACCCAGTTTTAACCATGCTCGGCTTCTGATATCGGGCGTATTCCTGCTGAGGTGGTCACAGGTAATCCCGGCATCACGTTCATTTTAACCAAACTTCAGGTGTTTATTTTGTTGTCCTTCCCCCGCGCTCCCGATTATCGTGGTTGGCTGTGTACGGTGCGAAATAAGTTCAACAAACATACTCAAGACGTACGAATCCCCCTGCATGTCAGTGAACCAAGGGCGGTGTTCCCAGTAAACATGTGACGTTGAGCCAACGTTGGCCCATGGCTGGAACCGTTGGAGCAACGTTCTAAGTTTGCTGTGTTTTTGCCAAACGTGTGGAGTTTTTGTCTACTGCCGGGGGGGTTGTGTCACGATTGTTTTTGTTTCACGAATAATATAATTCCTCTCGATGCGATCTCGGTTTGAGCACCGCGCAGACTCCACCACCGCACCACCGGCTGGAGCGGGGACTCGGCTCCCGTTGCTCGTGACCCCATAAGCACCCTGAGGTCTGCACGAGGGGCCCCACTGCAAGTCTCGTGACTGGGGGTGCGTGGGGGGTCAGGTGACGACCACGATACAGTCACCTCGCCGCGTGTTTCCACCACCACCACCCCGAGAGAGAGAGGGAGACAGGGGCCGTGAAAGTCAAGGTCAACTTGGCAGTTCAGCAGCAGCAGACACGTGTCCCCTCGTGACACGGAGGCGCCACGTGCCACCGGCCACTCAATCGTTTATCGCGTCCCACTGCCGTGGCCCGATGCACCCGGAGTGCTGCTCGCTTTGCCCTTTAGGCAATGGCACCCCCTGCTGGCCGGCCCTGGAATCTTCTGCCGCAGAATGTCCCGGCGAGTTGGGATCCGCGATGTGGGCATCTGCCCACGGTGGAGGTTGTTGAGTGTGTGAGCCAGTGGATGTGAGCCATCCACTGGCTCACACACTGATCATACCTGTCACGCCGCCGGCTATCGATCGTGGCGGGCAGTGGCGTCACTGTGCGATCCACGGCTCGGATGAGAACCTCCCGGGGTCACGGTGCAAGGCCCGTAGGGGTGTTAGACTGTACTTCACCACGCTGGTCAACCCTATGGGCAACCCGAACCCTTATCCGCCGCACAAACCATGGCAGATGCTGAAACTGAGTGATGATGATGATGCACAAATTGAATATTACTAACTACCACGGGACACACACCGACTCAGTGTCCGACTCACAAATACGTAGGAGGCATCATCATGTCCATACACCACTCCGCTACTCGATGCAATAGTCTGACCTCAATGTGTAATTACCGCTGTTGCTCTACATCAACATGCGCTTGACGAAGTGCGGTGTAGTAAAAACATTGTTGTGGAAGCTTGGAAACTCAGTTCCATTGAGTTTGCTGCACTGCCATCTGCCGACCACGAAGTCCACAGTATAGAATCATGATCTTAATTTAGGTAGGAGAAAGCCGATGAGCTGTGAAGCTCTTTTTCACAGGTCAGCAAGTTACAACAAACAGTACGACGAGAACAGTTCTCGTCAATCCCAGCATTGTCCAGGCTCTGATCTGGCCCGCTTCTGACACGCGGAGAGACGAAGCCGGTCAGCTCAGCCGGTCAGGGCGTGGTGCTAATAACGGTCCAGGGTTCGAGCCCCGTACGGGCCACATTGTGTGCATTTAATTTAATTGTGTAAATTGATTCGTAAACCCAGGAAATATTCTTTGGGTCTTTCAGTAAAGTCACGTAGATAGGTTGAAAGAACTGGCCCGCTGATCTGGCCCGCTTCTGACACGCGGAGAGACGAAGCCGGTCAGCTCAGCCGGTCAGGGCGTGGTGCTAATAACGGTCAAGGGTTCGAGCCCCGTACGGGCCACATTGTGTGCATTTAATTTAATTGTGTAAATTGATTCGTAAACCCAGGAAATTTCTCTTTGGGTCTTTCAGTAAAGTCACGTAGATAGGTTGAAAGAAAATAACAAAAACTTTGTTTCGATCGCAACACAACGGCCGCTAAGTGACTTTACCCAAAGACCCAAAGAATATGAATTCCTGCATTCACGAAAGCTTTAAGTCAAGATTTAACCCAGGAAATGTTAGACCACTGCATCGTCACCCTCCTGACCTCGTCTTACGTGTTAATTGGGGGCTTAGCGAACATCGGGCACAATACATTTAAGTATTGACACTTTATTTAAGTGTCAAGGCCGAAGGGTTGGCTGTGGCCATCTGTCGGCTGCTCGGCTGGGACACCTTCAGCCTTGGTCAATCCACTGCTCGATGAAGCATCCTCAATAAACTTATATAAGCAAAATTCCGCAATATTTCATCAATAAATTGTTGCATCAGCTCATCGATTAACTGGCGTCTCGCGCATTATCAATTCGCACGCATAAAAATCTAAAATTAGATTATTCAGCACGTTATCAGTGTCATGTTAAGATGTTAAAACACCAAACTGAAACCTTTTACAAGGAATCATGTCTGCATTAACCACAATACTTGTGGTCAGAATGCAAACAAAAAATCTACTCTGATAATGTGGCATTGTCTGTGAAACTACAGACATGATTCCTTGTAAAATGTTTCAGTTTGGTGTTTTAACATCTTAACGCCTTGATTTGAAGCTTTCGTGACTGCAGGAATCCAAACTCTTTGGTTCTTTCGGTAAAGTCACGTAGGTAGAAAAATCAAATACAACAAAAAATATCACGACGTTTCGATCGCAACTAATCGATTGAATCGCCGTGATATATTATTTTATTTTTCTACCTACGTGACTTTACCGAAAGAACCAAAGAATATCTTAACACCAGTTTTGTTGCCAGAAAAAAGGGGAAACCTATTTTCAAGTTGTCAGCGGTTATGATCAATCCACTGCTGGACGAAGACATCCCCAAATTGTCGCCATCTCCTTCTTGCGACGCAGCAATCCACCCAGCACCTGCAACACAAGCTGCTACCGTCGCTCAATCTCCTCGGCCGACGGATTCACAACTCCTCCACATGACGGACACACCACGGAAATTACACGCCAATTAATATGCGGGCGGCGTTGTAATTAGTCAAGTATTTTTTTTGTTTAAATGAGTGAAGGAGCTAGAGGAAAGCATTAGGGAAATAGCACCCATAACCCCGTGACGAAACCGAACAATCGATAACAATCGATTAAGTAGTCGATATTATTACCCAATCTAAGACGCGTGGCTGTCACGACCACGCGTATTCGCGTTTGGTAAATCCCTTATGGCCGCGGTGCGTCTCGGCTCCCGTAGGCGCGACAGAGCCGCCAGCATGGAGGCCGGGGAGGACGTCATCCTCTACGACTTGCTCGTCCACGCAGAGTGGCCGCCCGAGAGCGAGCTCGCGGTGGGTGTCCTCGCCCCCTTTCGTACCCCCTCGATCCCCACTCGGTTCCCCCTCGCCCCCTCTCGGCCCCTCGTCCGTGCTGTCACGCAAGGCGACTCGCTTTTCGGGACGTTCGCAGGTCCGCATTTGAGTTCATAGACCGCTTTGGCGAGGAGTCTCCGAGCGCGCACTCTGATTGGTTGGTTCCATCACGTGGTCGCGTTTAAAGGCCGCGCGCCGTTCGTCTTGACCAATCGTGCGCGGCTTCGGCCACCTCGGAGCCCAATGGCACTGGGAAATGTAAAGAGTGGTGCCTGACACGTCAATGGTGAAGTATGGGGGATTGAGAAGTGTGGTGGTGAGTGTGGTGGTGAGTGGTGGTGAGTGAGAGGTGAGTGTGGTGGTGAGTGAGAGGTGAGTGTGGTGGTGAGTGAGAGGTGAGTGTGGTGGTGAGTGTGGTGGTGAGTGGTGAGTGAGAGGTGAGTGTGGTGGTGAGTGAGAGGTGAGTGTGGTGGTGAGTGTGGTGGTGAGTGTGGTGGTGAGTGTGGCGGTGAGTGTGGCGGTGAGTGAGAGGTGAGTGTGGTGGTGAGTGTGGTGGTGAGTGAGAGGTGAGTGTGGTGGTGAGTATGGTGGTGAGTGAGAGATGAGTGTGGTGGTGAGTTTGGTGGTGAGTGAGAGGTGGGTGTGTTGGTGAGTGTGGTGGTGCGTGAGAGGTGAGTGTGGTGGTGAGTGAGAGGTGAGTGTGGTGGTGAGTGAGAGGTGAGTGTGGTGGTGAGTGAGAGGTGAGTGTGATGGTGAGTGAGAGGTGAGTGTGGTGGTGAGTGTGGTGGTGAGTGTGGTGGTGAGTGAGAGGTGAGTGTGGTGGTGAGTGAGAGGTGAGTGTGGTGGTGAGTGTGGTGGTGAGTGTGGTGGTGAGTGAGAGGTGAGTGTGGTGGTGAGTGAGAGGTGAGTGTGGTGGTGAGTGAGAGGTGAGTGTGGTGGTGAGTGAGAGGTGAGTGTGGTGGTGAGTGTGGTGGTGAGTGAGTGGTGAGTGAGAGGTGAGTGTGGTGGTGAGTGTGGTGGTGAGTGTGGCGGTGAGTGAGAGGTGAGTGAGAGGTGAGTGTGGTGGTGAGTATGGTGGTGAGTGAGAGGTGAGTGTGGTGGTGAGTGTGGTGGTGAGTGAGAGGTGAGTGTGATGGTGAGTGTGGTGGTGAGTGTGGTGGTGAGTGAGAGGTGAGTGTGGTGGTGAGTGAGAGGTGAGTGTGGTGGTGAGAGGTGAGTGTGGTGGTGAGTGAGAGGTGAGTTTGGTGGTGAGTGTGGTGGTGAGTGTGGTGGTGAGTGAGAGGTGAGTGTGGTGGTGAGTGAGAGGTGAGTGTGGTGGTGAGTGAGAGGTGAGTGTGGTGGTGAGTGAGAGGTGAGTGTGGTGGTGAGTGTGGTGGTGAGTGAGAGGTGAGTGTGGTGGTGAGTGAGAGGTGAGTGTGGTGGTGAGTGTGGTGGTGAGTGTGGCGGTGAGTGAGAGGTGAGTGTGGTGGTGAGTGTGGTGGTGAGTGAGAGGTGAGTGAGGCTCACCTCGAACTCGCCTCACTCGGCTGTCATCAGACCTCATGCAAAAGACCTCACCACATTGAGCAGACACGTCACCACCCACCCTCACCACTCCTCACCACACTCACCTCACTTGACTCAGCACTGCACGTTAAACCAAACAACACACTCGCCAGACACGCGACTCCACTTCACAACTCATGTAACACTCTGCACTCATCACACACCTCACTCGCCACACTCACCTCGCACTACACCAGACACTACGCCTCAAGCACCGGTCATCTCAGACCACATACAACCTCTCCTCACACTGTCCAAACACCTCACACCACAATACACACCAAACGCTCACCACAAACCACTCACCAGACAACGTACAGTCGTCACCTAAACACCTCACACCACAAAGACAAATCCACGAAGAGCCTCAACAGACTTTTGGGGCAAGTGCTGTTAGCGAGCACGTGATGGCACGCGACACACTCCAAACTCAAGAGATCCGTGTCTCAATGCGGTTTCATCCGCCTATAAATAAATCTCGTGTTATACCCATGTTGACAACCGTGTTCCGTTACTAAGAAAATAACAGTTAATCAGTTACAGATGTTTACATTGCATTAATTCGTCACCATCGGTTACAGTTTTCAAGGTTTATGCCAGTTACCTGTCGATTTCCTTTGTCCAAATCACTCGTAATGTGGTAATCGGATTGCAGTGGGTTGAGCAGCGTTGAGCCGGAATACTCTTACAGTGAGGGAAAAAAGTATTTGATCCCCTGCTGATTTTATACGTTTGCCCACTGACAAAGAAATGATCAGTCTATAATTTTAATGGTAGGTTTATTTGAACAGTGAGAGACAGAATAACAACAAAAAAATCCAGAAAAACGCATGTCAAACATGTTATAAATTGATTTGCATTTTAATGAGGGAAATAAGTATTTGACCCCTCTGCAAAACATGACAGTACTTGGTGGCAAAACCCTTGTTGGCAATCACAGAGGTCAGACGTTTCTTGTAGTTGGCCACCAGGTTTGCATACATCGCAGGAGGGATTTTGTCCCACTCCTCTTTGCAGATCTTCTCCAAGTCATTAAGGTTTCGAGGCTGACGTTTGGCAACTCGAACCTTCAGCTCCCTCCACAGATTTTCTATGGGATTAAGGTCTGGAGACTGGCTAGGCCACCCCAGGACCTTAATGTGCTTCTTCTTGAGCCACTCATTTGTTGCCTTGGCCGTGTGTTTTGGGTCATTGTCATGCTGGAATACCCATCCACGACCCATTTTCAATGCCCTGGCTGAGGGAAGGAGGTTCTCACCCAAGATTTGACGGTACATGGCCCCGTCCATCGTCCCTTTGATGCGGTGAAGTTGTCCTGTCCCCTTAGCAGAAAAACACCCCCAAAGCATAATGTATCCACCTCCATGTTTGACGGTGAGGATGGTGTTCTTGGGGTCATAGGCAGCATTCTTCCTCCTCCAAACACGGCTAGTTGAGTTGATGCCAAAGAGCTCCATTTTGGTCACATCTGACCACAACACTTTCACCCAGTTGTCCTCTGAATCATTCAGATGTTCATTGGCAAACTTCAGACGGGCATGTATATGTGCTTTCTTGAGCAGGGGGACCTTGCGGGCGCTGCAGGATTTCAGTCCTTCACGGCGTAGTGTGTTACCAATTGTTTTCTTGGTGACTATGGTCCCAGCTGCCTTGAGATCATTGACAAGATCCTCCCGTGTAGTTCTGGGCTGATTCCTCACCGTTCTCATGATCATTGCAACTCCACGAGGTGAGATCTTGCATGGAGCCCTAGGCCGAGGGAGATTGACAGTTCTTTTGTGTTTCTTCCATTTGTGAATAATCACACCAACTGTTGTCACCTTCTCACCAAGCTGCTTGGCAATGGTCTTGTAGCCCATTCCAGCTTTGTTTAGGTCTACAATCTTGTCCCTGACATCCTTGGAGAGCTCTTTGGTCTTGGCCATGGTGGAGAGTTTGGAATCTGATTGATTAATTGCTTCTGTGGACAGGTGTCTTTTATACAGGTAACAAGCTGAGATTAGTAGCACTCCCTTTAAGAGTGCGCTCCTAATCTCAGCTCGTTACCTATATAAAAGACACCTGGGGGCCAGAAATCTTTCTGATTGAGAGGGGGTCAAATACTTATTTACCTCATTAAAATACAAATCAATTTATAACATTTTTGATATACGTTTTTTTTGGATTTTGTTGTTATTCTGTCTCTCACTGTTAAAATAAACCTACCATTAAAATGATTGACTGATCATTTATTTGTCAGTGGGCAAACGTACAAAGTCAGCAGGGGATCAAATACTATTTTCCCTCACTGTAAGTGCTTGGATGGGAGGAGACCCATCTCAAAACAGGCGGTTGGCTAATTGCAGGGCTACGTTGCAGACAGCAGAGGGCACTGTAGCAAGGGCCAGTGCGCTGTTCGTTCGTGCTCCCCATTATTTGCTCCCTGCCCTCCGCCCAAACTGAGCAGCGTGGTGAAGTGTGGTCACATAACCTCATCCAGCAGTGGATTGACAAAAGCGCTGCAGAGCTTCCTATGGATATGTCAATGAATCTGTGGCTAATAATACACACGAGATAGAACAAGATAGGAGAAATGGTGCAAGAAATGCATTCCTCAATGGACTTTAACCCTTTATTGTGTCATTCATCGTGGAAAGATCCCTTGCATGCTCAGATTTTACATCCTGACTGTGACGCTGCCTGCAGTTTTGAATACAGTGCGGTCCCGTCCTATTTGCATTCATTTGTATTTTGTTTTTAAATCTTAACCCTCGCCGCAAGCGTGCACGTTCAAACGCGAGTGAGCACTGTTTTTCAAAATATGAAAGTTTAAACGTAGCCGCTTCTGTCATTTTCCTTATTCAGCCTCGTGGATCCAGGGACTTGGATATCGCTCACAAAAGCTTTGCGAAGAAGGCAGCCTCGGCCCTTACGGGTACGGCATGACTCGTGCTCGCGAACCGTCACAATACGACACATTCACGGGATTTGGATATCGAGTGACTTTGTGACATTTCCCTCCTCAGCTCCCCTCTGGCTCGTTGTGCAGTACGCCCGCTGCAGGTAAGTTTCAACGCATGCACGGCACCTGCACAAATGAATACTGCGGTTTGTTAACCCCGAGCATCCCGTAACCGTGGCGTCACCCTGCCTGGTGCCTCCAGCTCCTCCCCATGCTGCTCCTTGCCGCCGGGGCTGGTGCAGCTGCTGAGCCGGCAGGTCAACTGGCAGGTCGTGCTCTCCAGGTGGGTGGGTTGTTGTTGTTATGTTGATCAGGGCACACGCACAACTCAGCTGCGCTAGCAGAAAGTACTTCAACATGGGTTTTTGCGGTCGTGATTCAAAACTGTTCATTGTGTTTTCGGGTTGTACTGCGTGTGGGTTGGCATGATGTCTGACGTTTCGCTCTATGGGCTGGAAGCTTCTTGAGGAACTGCATAAAGAAGCTTCCAGCACATGGAGCAACATGTTACACACATCATGACCACGTCGCTCGGCACCACCCAAACAGAGGACTTCATCCTGACTTACGGCAGTCAGCTGTGCCTTGTGTGTCTCATGAGCAATGGCAACCAGGCCATTCCTGCCAGCTGAGGATACAGCACCAGTGCCATGTCACCAGTCACTCCGAGTTACCGGTGACATAGCGCTGAGTTTACTAAGTGTGCGAGGCGTTGGGCTTGTGTTGTGTTATTGGAACCTCACGTGTGCTGTCTTTTGGCCGCAGCAATGGGAATCTCCTGGCAGTCGTGCAAGACGTGTGCATCGAGATCCGGTGGGTTTGACTGCGTGTGTTGTCTGTCTTTGGTGAGTGGCAGTGCAACTGTTAGCGCGCTGCGCTACCAACCCGGTGACCCGAGTTCACTTCCCGCTCACAGCCAACACCAGTGACAATTATCTGAATCGATTCTGGACCTCCCGTAGGTCGACTCAGCCTCAAACGAGTACCTGGTGTGATGTGTAAACATCACCACTGGGGAGACAAAGGCGGCCGAGCATCTGTCAGCCTTCATAGGAGCTCGCAAACAGCCCATGCCCTAACAATCTGTTAAGGCCATACAGGGGATCTTTGTCTTTGTTGTCTGTCTGTGAGTGCTCTCCTCCCCTCTGTTTTCTCCGAGTACTGTTTCCTCCCAAATGTAAAACACTCATTTACACAAGAGAGATAACGACACATCCCAATGCAGGACCCTTATTTTGCCTTAGTTGTTACTCTGCATATACATCAGCCATATTAAAGCGGAAGATTGTACATCTGTGTTTATGATCATTTTAAAATGCCTTCTTTGCTTGTGTGATGAGCGACTTCCGAGACACATCGAGTAGAAGGCTTCTTCTTTCTTAAGAGCACACTGGCGATACATTGTGTAACGCAGCTACACATAGGCGATCCTAACACGTAGCCCCATCTCCGGCTTCGCTACACAAGCTGTTCGACCAGCGCAGCGACGGCGATGGAGATAGTCTTCCTGTAGATCAGCCACGTGGTCGGAGACGAAGAGATGACGACGAGCAGCGACGCAGCCAGGACCCAGGACCCGCAACCGCCCAGAACCTCTGGTTCGGGTTCCCCCTTATATCTGCCCTGGCGCGGCCAAGCTCCACCTCTGGCCACGCCCCCTTTCAGGAACCTTCGAGCTGGTTCCCGGCAGCTTCTCGACTGACTCCGCCTTTCACCTCTACTCCAGATACGCCCCCCTTATAATAAGGCATTATGTAATGCAGCCATGATCGTAATTACCATTCCCAGCCGACAGGTGTCACCCTGTCATGACACTTGTGTTCATGCTCCGTGTTACTTGTGAACACTTGCATGGCCAGCGTGAGCAGGTTGATCTTCCACAAGAACCGATGTTGGCCGAATTTCTTCTCTGGTTATATAAACCTTCAAAACCACGATTCAACTTGCTTCCCATATTTTTAAGCCAGATTTTAACAATGATGACTTAAATGTGATGAGTTTATTCAACTAAGAAATACAGTCTTTTTGGCTTGGTGTGGGAATATAATTGTGAAGAGGGCAGATGGCTCAGCATCTTGTGTGAGGTTGGAGCCAGGTTTTGCTGTGGAAGCACTCGAGCAAAAACCCAACTAATGGGCTCCTGTCATTCTCGCCTCCAATATAAACAGACTCGGATACTAAGTCGGTACTCGGTGTGTGCAGGTCGGCAAGGGATGACTTTTCAGCAACGATCGGAAAATGTACAAGTACGTGCGGGGGGACTTGCCACACGCTGATGCATCTGTCTGCACACACTTGCACTCCGGCACGTGTGTACATTATGAGCTCTCCATAGGATTGTGCTCAGTAGTGGATTGACTATGCCCATTCTCTGCCCTCCATGTCTTCCCTCTCTTCCCCTTCCTGTCCCTAACCCCTACTTACCCTATATCCTGGTCACCCATTCCTCATCCCTTGCACTGCCCTGCCATCAAATTAATATATTGTTTATACTGCTTTTAAGTTATGTTAAATGCCTTGATCAAAGGTGTTCCATAAATATACAATAAAATGATGACGATGACTAGAGTTATATAAACATTCACTCCCCTTGAAAAATGATGAAGTCGCGATTCAATTCAAGAGTCAGTTCTGTCTTGATCTTGGTTGAGTTTCTCGTTTGTACTGACTGTGTTGATCTAGAAAGGTAGCTTAGCTTGAGCTTGTTGCGATTCAATTCAAGGAGCAATTATTTTTTGTTCCATTCTTTCTTCGTCAGCATTTGTGTTGTATATTTTATCGCACAGTCTCGATTTGACAGTTTTGTTTACTTCACCCTAAATTTACAATATGCAAAAAAACCTCAACTTCGTTTTGGGCAATGGCCCTTCTTCACGACGCATGGAGGCAAGAGAGGTAGAGTGGTAGAGAGCAAAGAGAGCTGCGTATCATTTTCTTACACCATACGGAGGGGCCTAAGCATCTCATCAAGAGTACAGGAATCAGGGTGGAGGACGGCTAACATCAGTGGCGACTGATATCTGAATTGGACCTGGGGTCCCCACCCCAAACAAATTGACGACGGCTGCTGCATGGGAAGTCAAAGGCGCTGCACCGTCGCAATGTGATGTGAACGAATGCGCGACCCCGTGTGCGTGCCCCGTCTAGTTTCGCGGGACGCGTTCCCGCAGTGGCGCCGTGTGGCGTGGAGCCACGACTGCACACTGCTGGCGATCGCCGAGAGCTCTGGGGCCGTGCATGTCTTTGACCTCATGGGCACCCACCTGTTTACCATCTCACAGGTCCGTGCCACCTCTCGCTCCGCCACCGCCTTACCCATTGCACTGTGCCACACCGGCTGGCACCTGTCATATCGTGACCTCAATGTCCACAACAGTGGCCTTTAACATCGTTCTCTACCCGTGCTGTCATAACCTCTGTGCCCACTGCATGAAAAGAATATTGAGACTCAACGAGACTCTGCTTTGTAATCACGAGATAGTATCATCATCATCGTTATCATTAAACGAGTCTCTACCTCTGATTTTACCTCCTTCATATCCAAGACATTTTATGACCATCGCAACCTGCACCCGAGTACAATCACTTCTGTGTCCCCCCTCGTCATTTTTTTGCCCAAGCTCTTGTAACCTTGCTCAATTCAAGAGATGTGTTAACTGTTATCTATTCCAACTCAGGTAGCGCTGTTTGTTGCTGGCCCCTTGATGTTTTGTGCCTATAAGGCCAGCGCGCAGCAAATTTGTAAAAGTAAAAAAAACCTTAACAAAAACCAATGGCGTGGTGGAACGTAGCCCAGTACCCTTGAAGCCATTGCCCTGCTGCCTATCGCAGTGCACTACCCCCGCCATAGCACAAGTAGGTGTAGTTGGTTGTGAACTGCTTGAGTGTGGCCGGATTCACAGGCGGCGGGCGGCTCCGGGGACCTGGGCCTGGCCGTGGCAGGGCTCGTCTTCCTGGAGTACACAGCGAGTGCGCAGTGGTCGGCTGAGCTGCTCGTCATCAACTACGCGGGACACCTCACCAGCTACCTTGTTAGGTGAGCCGCCCGCTCGCCCCCTGGGCGTTCCATCCTCTGGACGTAGCTGTTTTGCCCCATGGCACAACCATCCCCGTGACTCCGCGGTGAAGGTGACGGCCGTGCCGTGTGTGACCTTTGGCAGCCTCAACACGAACCAGGGCTACCAAGAAAACCACAAGTTCAGCTTCACCTCGCACTACCCCCACGGCATCACGGCGGTGGTGTACCAGCACACGCACAGGTGCGACAGCATGCCTCCAGGGCTACCAGTGACACACACAAACACACTCCTGGCTGCTGCCTTTGGGGTGAATATACGAGTGGCAGTTCCACGCACACTTGTGTATGTATTAGTTGCATGATGCATGACGGTTCCACGTGTGGCCATACCTACCCGTGTACCGCCGAAACGCCGTAGGCTGCTGCTGGTGGGCGGCTGTGAGAGCGGAGATTTCGAGGCCGGCTCGGCGGCAGCAAACGGGCTCACGGCGTGGCGGGTACTGTCGAGCAGCCCCCACTACAAGCAGGTCACCAGCATCAACGACGACCTGGGCATGGTGAGCCAAAGCTGCTGCCGCCATACGAGCTTCACTGCCGCCACTCACCCTGTGACCCATTGACCTACAAAGCAACGTTGTGACGTGAAGGTCTGTGCGCGTGAATCGTGCGTGCCGCGTGACACAGGGCCTGCAACGGAGCCGTCTGCTGACCCGGCTGCCTGGTCTCCCTCGGTGGAGCAGGGTGGGGCGTGACCAGGTAGTCGCTCGCATGACCTCCGGGGTCCCACTCACACTCACAGGGAGCATTAGTGGTTTGTTATAAGTGCACTGCAAGAAATGATGGTCATATGGCAATTATCTGTCATGTTTATTTCTCAGAGCTTAAATCAAATAAATTCAGAACTAAACTTTATAAGTTGTGTTTTGCGTGCAATCATTAGTTACTGGACATCGCTACGTTTCTCAGTTCGGTTTAATCACAGGTGACTAATCCGAGATTTAAACCCAGGTTCTCAGCGGTGCTGACCTGGTCTTAGCCCCCTGAAGCACCGTGACGTGACGTTCCTCGATTAAATTGTTTAAATATTGCACGTGGACCTTGGGAATGATGGGACTTCTTGGGGTTAAAGTAATGCAACGTGGTTTTCAAAAAATAAACCCGATTCACACTCTGCGATGTGGATCGCTCTTCTCCCTTACACCCAGCTCACCGCGCTCTCACCGACCTCTCCGTTTGGTCTCGCATGTATGTATGTTGAACTTGCGCACTTTACATAACCAACCATGCTAATCGTATGTGCGCGCGTTTGTGCATGCATGCGTGGACACAGGACGGAATCTATAAGCTCTCGCTATCTCCGGATGCATCCGTGCTGGCGGCCGTGCACTTCTCAGGGAAGCTGTCGCTCTGGGAGGTCCCATCGCTTAGCCTGAAGCAGGCGTGGAGTCAGGAGCAGCAGGTCAGTCTGCACGTCACCGCTGGTGGTGCTGGCCATAGGCCTGGCGTGGAAAATCATGTGCGGTTCCGCATTTGCTTTTTCCGGCATTGAGAAGCTCGTGGTTCCCCGCAAGCCAAGAGAGTCGCGTGGAAACTCGGTGAATGTAACGTCATGTTCGTGAGCGCGACGTCACGGTGCTCGTGGGCCCCGGGTGAACCTTGGTCTAGGCGGGATGGAGCGGTGAGCCGGTGTTTTCCGGCCGCCATGTGTAAACGTGGGCCCGCCGTGTGTCGTTCCAGCCCGGGTACGACGAGGTGAATCCACAGTGGGTGACCTCTGTGGATAGAAAGAGGAAGATGAAGGGTGAGCATGCGATGTGGGTGCAGCTGCATCTGTAGCATCCGAAGGGTTCCTTTGCATTAAACAAGAGTCGTGTGTGAGAGTGAGCAAGTGTCCGTACGTGTTCCTGTGAGAATGCGATGATGTGAGTGCTTGCGAGCCTGGGTCGGTTTGTGCATTTGATAATGGGAGCACATGTATTTGTGAGTGTGTGAGCTTGTTTAAGTGAAACTTTATGAATGTGCTTGTTGTAACACGTGTATTCCCGTGTGTGTGTTCCCATCTGTGTATAAGTATGGGGAGCCGTGGTTCACACACTGCGCTATGATCCTGGTGACCTGAGTTCGATTCTTGGCCATAGCTAATATTCGTCACGGATGATATTTGAAACCGTTTTGGGATTTCTTTGGGTTGACTCAGCCCAAAATGAGTACCTGTTGTGGTGTACAAAGGCGGCCGGGCGTGGTGCTGGCCACCCACCCCCTCGCGTGTCGTGCCAGCCTTCATAGGTGCTACTCACGAACAGCACTTGCCCCAACAGCCTTTGTATTTGTGTGAGCCTGTGTAAGTGTGTGTATGTACCAACGTGAGCATGCGTGTGCTGCCGCTGTAGACAAATGGTGGCTCTGCTCGCTGGCCGATGTGAACTGGTGGGCGGACGGCGCTCTGATCCTCGCCCGCTGCTCGGGCTCGCTCACCGTCTCGTCGGCGCGCACCCTCAGCAATCTCCTGGGCCCGTCGGCCGAGTGGTTTGAGCCGGCGCCACTCGTGACGGCCGCACACAACGGAGGCTTATTGGCGCTCGAGGTGCAGCTTCCATCCCCAACCCTTCTCCCGACCTCGCAGAGAGAGCGAGCTCTCCATCAATACGTACTCTGTTCAGATTATCAACACAGAAGACATATCGCTGTGCAGTTTTCGAAATGGTGCTGCGGAGCACTTCCTAATCTGTTCTGTTCACTACTTTGTCCGACATTTCGCCCCACGTGCTGGGAGCTTCTTCAGCAGCTTAAATGTGCAGCTCACGTTTCCCTCTCTACAGCTTTGCTGGCTGCTCTTGTTCTCTGATGTAGGCCGGCCGATGTTGTTTATTTGCTAACTTAGACACGGCTTCTGCCGCTGTTACCTCCCCTGCTGATGACGGGAATTCATGTCTCGTCACGCCGCCAGTGCGAAGTAAAGCAGGTGTCCCTGAAGAGGCCACGCGCGGACGAGGTGGGGCCGGCGCGCGACGAGGGGGGCGACGAGAGCAACGACGAGGAGGAGGCCGACGGCGAGGCCTCGCTCCTGGGCCGCTCGGGCCGCGTCGTCCGCCGCGGCCTCTACCTCCTCACCGAGTCGGAACGCTTCGCGCCGCCCCGCAAGCGTCCGCGCAACCTCGTCAAGACGTACCGGCTCGTGAGCCTGCGCTCTACCACGCCGGAGGAGCTCTACCAGCGGAAGGTGGGGGTCGTGCCGCCTGTGCCATGAGTGCCGTGTGCGCCCAATATCGCCCTGTGCTAACGGCAGCACCGCTCTGCGCAATTCACACGGTGTTCGTGTGGCGTCTGTTCAGCACCGCACGCGACCCCGCACTGCTACAAAATTGAGCAGCAGACGACTTGTCTGCATCGTACATCTGTCCAGAGTTTTCTTGTATTGAACCAATGCTGCTGAAATCATGAAGACCGTGTGGCTGATGAATTGTGTAAAAAATGCTTTGATTTTTATGCGGAGATCTATTATGAAGGACCGATGTATGGAGGAGACATTTGGCTTCTTATCTATGTTGTTTGTTTTCTCGCCGTTAACACAATCCTACAGGTTGCACACAGCAATAGCCCTTACCACCGACACTACAACGTTATGTACAAATATCGCCACTTACTACTCCACACCACAGTACTAAAAACAGCTCATACCACCTACAGCAACACATAATATTCACATTGCACCGCAGACTGCTAGAACCGGCATCAACCAAGCAAGTCACCTAGCACCACCAAATCACCACACAGTGCCACAGTGTTGCACACTTACCTACACCGCCTTATACAATTGTACTCATGACCACATCCCACTCCATACCACCCAACACCACCACCACTGCAGCAACCACCACACTGCAACGCATGCTGTTCCACACCAGCGCACACTATCAGACACTACGCCACATCAACCGCACCACTGCAAGCCATCACCTACCACCACACCAAACCCACACCAACGCACCGCCTTGGAGCCCCTGTGCATGTCTTCTCAACCTCCGGTATCCCCCGTGTCCACGTGCCAAGATTGACAGCGAGGAGTACGGGGAGGCCCTGCTGCTGGCACAGGCGTACGGGCTGGACACGGACCTGGTTTACCAACGACAGTGGAGGAAGTCCCCGGTCAACATCGCCTCCATCCAGGACTACCTGGTACCTCCACTTACACCCCCACGGTTGCTCACCCAGCATCACCACTGCTCACCTCACCTTGGTGCCCAAGAAACCGAGACCCTGACAGGCACTCCGTTGTGTGGCCACGCAACAGAGCAAGATCAAGAAGCGCTCGTGGGTTCTGCACGAGTGTCTGGAGCGACTGGCGGACAGCGTGGATGCCGCCAAGGAGCTGCTGCAATACGGCCTCAAGGGCACCGACCTGGAGGCCCTGCTGGCCATCGGCCGCGGGGACGACGGAAGGTACGTGCGGACGCTTCTTGAGTGTCCGCACATCTCAATTTGCATGGTTGGCTATGTACAGTGCGAAAGAAGTTGAACATATGTACATACGTCGGCCGCTTGCTCCTCTCTACTCGCTGGCCAGTATGGTGATCCTGCAACCTCGGGCAAGAAGGTGCCGTGACGTGCAGCTCATACCATTGAGCTTCTATAGGTCAAGAAGTTGAAGTGAAGGTGCCCCAGGAATACGTGGCGAAAGCTTGAATCATGGAAGGAGTGCTCAAGCCGCAGTCCAATTCAGAAAACCACATGTGGATTACGAGTGGCTGTGAAAACCTACATTGCATACTCTCAGGACTCACTCCTATGGATATGCTCAGTAGGTTTTGTAAGTGACGATTTAGACCATGGGCAGGAAGGTGCATGACCAGCAGCCTCGTTTCGTACGGACCGTGACCACGTGATGCTCGCCACTTATGAACGGTCCCGTACCGATACGTATTCGGCATTGAAAGCATCTTAGCTGCATGAATCGGGAACTAGTGGAGAATATTTCTGACCTGGCAGCAACACTATGTTTCTAATTTTAGTGCATTCTGTCACTTTTGTGCATTGATGTGTGGTACACCAGTGGTATCTGAGAGTCTAATTCGGCCCTCGATAAGCACCAGGTTCTCGACTTCTCCTTTTGTAGAGCAGCAGGTAATGGTTATGATTGGCCGTGCCTGCCAATGTTGCAGATTCATCGAGGCCGGAGACGTGGACATCGAGGAGTTTCCGTACGAAGACATGAGCCCTGAGGAGGAGCTCGAGAGGAGGATGGAGAAGGAGGAGCAGCGCAGGAAGGAGCTGCTGGAGCTGGTGAACTTCACGAGGTGTGGTTGATCGACCTCCGGTGTTAATTTTGTCCATAAAATCAGTGACGAAAATTCTCCAAAAAAGCATTCTTTTTTTTTTATCTCAGTCACCAATGACCATGGATGAACAAAAATCATCCAGTGCGGCGATGACTGTGACGAGCCGTGACTGTGATGAGATGGAGTTACCGAGTCTGAATGACGATGCAAACTGAGATTAATTAGGGAACATTTTTAAAGACTGCAGTGCACCGAGGAAGACCAAACATGGTAATTGGCTGTATATGTGTAGTGAATCACTTCAGAGACACTAGTAGTAGGAGGCACTCTCATTTATTCCAGCCATCACAGGCACAGGGGATAACTATATACTTGGTCAGGACAGCCGGCACACTGCCTGACCAACAACCCTTTTATCCCCCCAGCGTGGCCTGGCTCCGCCCTCGGCCACGCCTCCTGGAACCTACCAGAAGGTTCTGGGCTTCACCTCACGTGTCCCCTCCGTCACCTTTGCCCTACATCCCTTTCTCCGGCCTATCACGTGCCCTGCTAGCAGACCGGGCTGCTACACCCACACATCCCCCTCTCTGCCAGTAACCAGCGCTACACGCCCTAGTGACCCATTCTATGTCACTACAGATTGACGACATTCACGGATTAGATGATAATATTTGGGTGGGGGAAACTGCACATCAACGTTTCTCTACCAATAGGGTTTACTAACGATCGACTGCTTCAGTCGCCAAGATATAGACTGACTACGACTGAGATAGAAACTGCTGATGAAGAGAACGCTGCGCTGGTCCATGCACGCGCTCTCTCACCCCAACGTGAACCCAAAGCCTGGCCCTCTCGCCGGCCCTGTGCGGTTCCAGGTTGACGGTGGAGCAGAAAGACCTGTGCCGCAGCCGCCTGCGCCTGCTGACGTACCTGGACCGCCTCGCCACCTACGAGGTACGGGCACCGCCACTTCCCATCATCGGGGCGAATGGTGACGCTGCCCCTTCTTGGGCCTCTGTGGTGGCTTACCTTGGTCTGCATTTGGCCACTCTTCTGTTTCCCACCTCTTCGTAGCCCGTCGCCTGGGCCCCTCAAGCCTGTGGGCACCTGTGCAATTGCACTCCCTGCACACTCGATAGCTATGCCACCGAGCCTCCATGTGACCTCTTGGTTTTACGTTCCATGTGGCCCATGTGACCCATTTCCTCCTGTACACATTGACAGTGCTAGGTGTGGAGTTTGTATGTTCTCCCCTAGCCCTGCATTGGCTTCTCTTCAGGTTCTTTGGTTTTCTCCCATAGTTAAAAACATACAATGTCATCACCGTTGTCCCAACATCGCAATGTAGCAGGACCCTCCTGAAAAAAAGTATTTTGTCTCGGTGTGGCTTTTCAGGGTAAATAAGTATTGTAATTATAATTCGAATTATTAGGTATCTGTCCCATGTCCTCATGGCCACATGTTCTGTGTGCCTCGCATTGCCTCTACCATGCCCCCAGCGTTGATCTTCAGTCCGATCTCGTACAGGAAATCCTGGGAGGCCCCCACGCAGCAGAGCAGAGGTACAACACAGAGTTCTTCAAGAGCTTCAGGAGCCAGAACCTCGTGCTGTCGGCCAGGAACTACGCTCGGGTAACCAGCTCGCAGTTTGTCTTCCGGCCTCACATTTGGTGTCCATTGCGGTTGCAGTGATATATTCTTTCACGATATGAAATCTGTTGTCGTGCTTATCGTGATATCGCTTTTCCGTAACATAATGCTTTTGATTTTCATGTTAAGTGATAACTTTATTATAAGGAAATTAAACGAGCAAAGTTGATCCTGAATTAACGTAATTCTCATTTATATTGCTGGATAAGCGGAGGCAGGGAGATTTAAAACAAAACTTGCACCATTGTTTCAACTGCCTCGCCGGGAGATCAAACCGAACCAGCGACATCGGGATTGCAAGTTCAGTTTGCTAGCCATGACACCGTGGAAGCTTGCCAACATCATGCACGTTATCCTAGTATTGCCACATCGCAAAAAACCTGAGTGGCCAGTGTAAGCGTTGCGGTGATGACGGGAAGGGGGCGCTCACTGCGTGTGGTCGTGCAGGAGAGTGACTGGCAGGCCCTCGAGATCCTCTTCCGCTACCACAGCGAGGAGCTGCTCACTCACCGCCTGCCTATCCTCTCCAATTTCCTGGAGACCACGTCACCTCACGAGTACCGCTACCTGCTGCCCGAGGCCGAGTACGATGCATTTCATGCCAACACGAACACACGTACGCGTGTCTATACACGAACACAAAGGCAACGGTTACCCGTGTAGCCTTAACAGACCGAAGTGCGGTTAACGAGCGCCTATGAAGGCCGACAAAGCGCACAAAAGGGGTGGTGTGGCGGGGAGCACCTTGCCCGGCCGCAATTTTTCTCCACTGTCCTGATGTTTACACACAGCACCAGGTACTCATTTAAGGCTGAATTGACCTAGGAGAAGTCCAAATAGTGGGGTTTGGTGACATCGTGATCAACCGGAGTGTGGCTTGTCAGGGGTTTTCCACCTTTGGGAGGCAGGAAGTGGGGGCAGCCACAGAAAAAAACAGTCCAATACAATTCTTCGTTGAATAATGAAATTCCTCCACTCATGTGGCAGCTCTTTTATACAGCATCTAAGCAGGACCGCAGAGCCCATAGCTCACCGCAACAGCTACCCACACTGTTATGCAACCACATTTGACTCAATACAATTGCACGCTAACCAACACCCACCACACACCACTCCGTATCCCCCAACACCGCTACACGGCACCACCACATCCCATTTCACATCATCTCGTGCTGTTCCACCACACAGGCAGAACGACGAGGGGGAGCTGGTCGTCGTTCCACTGCACGAGAGCCGGCACCGGGACACGGACTGGTGCGAGGACCCGCAGTGCAGGTACTCGGATGCGGGACAAAGCGGGGCAGGTGAGGGGACACCGGTAGAGATAGTGCAGGCATGGCGGGGAAGCAGGTGTCATCAGCGCAGCTCCGTTGAAGCCAGCGCTACAGGTACCCCGCGACGCACAGCTATGTTTCCGCCACGGTTGGAGCCGCGTGGCGTACGTTGAGGTCTTGATGGTGGTGGGGGGTTTTGACCTCGGGCGACAGGAGCGGGGCGGACGTGAGCCGCGTGGACTTGGGCGACTTCCTGTACGAGGAGCAGCCCGAGCTGCGGCGATTCCGCACGCGCGATCCCTCCGTGGCCCTGCTGTCCCAGTGGTACCAGCAGCGAGCACATGACATTGAGAGCCTCTCCCGTCAGGTGAGGGAGGACACTCGCAAATACACCTTTACTTTACACGCGTGAGAGAGGGAAGAGTGAGCATGTCTGCACAGGTGAAAGGACAGACAGGTGAGTACCTGTGAGTACAGGTGAGTGAGACTCATAACTCTAAACAGGAGGAAGGGGCCAATCAAGCCTCTGTATAAGTGGGAGGAGAAACCGGGGTGATTATACAAATTGATTTGTACAGATGAGGGTACAGATAAGTGAATCCGTACAAGTAGTAAGTCTGTTTGGATGAGAGGACACATGAGCTGATAGTGCAGGTAAAGGCATAGAAGGTCGTCACGAGCTGCCTGTGTGCGCGTGCCAGGTGGACAGTGCGCTGTCGCTCGTGCGGCTGGGCCAGGAGAAGCTGGTGCCAGGGCTGGAGCCCCTGCTGGATGACCTGATGCTGCTGGACACGCTGGTGTACGAGGCCAGCATCGACCCCACGCTGACCCTGCACGACCTGCAGGCCATGCCCAGCCTGGCCCGCCTACGCCTGCTCATGAGCAAGGTGGGCACCTGCGGGAGGAGCCGGGGCTCGCCGGCCCAAGGTGCTTGGGCCGGCGAGCGCCGCTGACCGTCAGGGTTTTCTTGCTCCGTACTTGAACCGGTATTAAACCAAGCGGTCAGCGTGTTGGTCAAGGGAAAGGGGTACCCCGTCAATTGCTTGCTCATGCCACATTTACAAAACATAAAAAAAATACTTGGGAGACACAGCACTCGTCACCCCCTCCTGCGACACCTTCGCAGCACCCTCCTGTCTTGAGACCCAATGAGGCTTTCCTGGGTAAACACGTTTCATGATCATAATAATAGAAATAACTGCTGGAAGATAGGCCTCCATAAGAGCGAGCTTTAGAGTCCTGTTCTTTAGAGAGTATTTGGCCTACTCTTCCACGCTGGCCAAACAACTTTGAAGAGGACCGCTTGTGTTGCGGTCGAAATGTCGTGGGTTTTTTGCTTTTAATTTGGATTTTTGTCGTTCTACTGTTAGTATCATTTTGTTGAGCCGTACGCGAGCGAGCGTGTGTGCACGCATGTGACATCTTTTAGTGCAGGTCGCGACGTGTCACGAACGTTGCCGATTAAACACTTCCGAGGACAAACGTGCGTCAGAAATTGTTACGAATCCACGTGTGCGTGCGATTTATCTCCTTCCCCGTTTGTGTGTGGGATCCGGCGGCAGTCCCCAGCGGAGCGGTACGTACAGGATGCCCTGCGCTGGCTCGTGCCGTTCCTGCAGCGCCTGGAGACGGCTCGCGGCGGTTCCACGGCGACGCTGCTGCTCCGCGAGTACCTCGTGGGCCTGGCCCAGAGTGACCTCGCGCCACCGCTGCAGATCTTCCAGCATTCCAAGCCGCAGGCGAGCATCCCCGGGAACACGGGCGGCACGCCATACAATGCTCCCACGCGCCAGGCAATGCTCCCGCGGCAGTCCACGCGCCACGAGAGGCTGCCGCACTCACAGCAGTGCTACTGACGTACGCGGCAGGTTGCCTGTAGTTTAACCCTTTACCGCACGCCGATATTCAAAGATAGTCGTACACTTCATGTAAACAGTTTGCAATTTGATGCAATTGTTGCTGTGAAATGGGTCTGTGGTAAAGTTGTTTAAATGTCGGTAACCGCAGGCAAATTAGCGAGCATGCTGCTGTGTCCGTCACGGTGGTGATATCATGATGATGGTGACTACGTTTCCAATATCCTTAGTTCTTTCGGTAAAGTCACGTAGAAGGGGAACAATAAAATAATAAAATATATAAAACAATAAAAATTCTCACGACGTTTCGACCATAACACAAACGGTCGTCTTCAGGTGTGTCGGTTTGCATAAACGTGACTTTACCGAAAGAACTAAGAATATGAATTACTGCAGTCACGAAAGCTTTGAATCAAAATTTACGTTTCCAATGGCGATAGTGGTGTTTTTGATGATGGTAATGATGTGAATGGAATGATGATGATGGTGAATGCCTGATGACATCAATAGTAGTGGTGACCTGTGCAGTTATGGTAATTCTCTTAACGTGACAATGGTGATGTTAATGATGGTAATGGTGGCGATTAGGCTGATTATAATTAGGGGGGAGGTAGTGATTACATTGGTAACCACCATTGGTGATGGTTGTGGTGATGATAATGGTGAAATTGGTGCAGCTGAAGATGGTAATAACAAGGATAGCAATTAAACGATAATTGTGATGGTAGCTGTGATAGTGGCTATGCTTAAGATGATTGTGATTGTACAATGGGGAGATTGATAATGGGCAAAACAACAGCGACAAGGACGGTAATGGTGATGACAATGATGATGGTACCTATGATAATGGCTATGCTCGATGACCATGCTGAGGCTGACGATGTTAATGATGATGATGATGATGTGTGCAGCGTTCCCAGCGCATCATTCCGGACAACGACGAGCTCATGAGGGTCGCCCTGGAGTGCACCTACAGCTGCACTCGCGACGACCAGCTATCGCTCTGCTACGACATCCTGGAGTGTCTGCCTCAGCGGGGATCTGGGTAACGCTGCACGCTCGCAGCAAGTGCCATTAAGGAGCGAATTGGGCCATCCCAAGTCGTCTGGCAGGGGTGAAGGGAGGGCAGGGATTCATGGTCTGGCGTGATTCTCATGAGAGAGATGGTCGAGATGTTTTGTGTGTTTGCCCACGTTTTGTGGGGAGCGGTGGCGCAGTGGTTAGCACACTACACCACAAGCCTGGCGACAAACTCCAGGTCACTTCCCGCTCGGAACCAACACGGGTTACGAATATGCCAATTGGTCCTGGGCATCCGCTAAGTTAACTCAGCCTTAAATGGGCACCTGGTGTGAAGTGCAAACGTCGCCACTCGGGAGACAATGGCTGCTGGGCGTGTTGCTGGCTACCATCCTTTGCGATAATAGCACTTGCTCCAACAGTCTGTTATGGTTACATGTGGAATCTTTATCTGCGTGTGTGTGTGTATGTATTTATGTGTCTGTCATCCTTCAGGCAAGTGACTGATGTGACTAGGGACCTGCATGACCAAGTAGATGTCATGGAGCAGCACCTGAGGTGAGCGATGCTGACCAAGTCTCAATTAAATCCAACGGAGTGAATTAATCATCAGATTGTTTTTAATGAGAGACCAGATTGTTGTGAATGAGAAACCAGATTGTTGTGAATGAGAGACCAGATTGTTGTGAATGATAAACCAGATTGTTGTGAATGAGAGACCAGATTGTTGTGAATGAGAGACCACATTGTTGTGAATGAGAGACCAGATTGTTGTGAATGAGAGACCAGATTGTTGTGAATGAGCGATCCGATTGTTGTGCACGAGTCCTGTCGCCAGAGCGAACGAGCTGCGCTTGTGTCCAGCGTGGCAGAGATCCTGGAGAAGCACGGCGTGCCGAAGCCCATCAGCTTCGTTCGCGACTCACAGGGCAGTCGCGAGGAGGCGGTGAAACTCCTCACGCGACTCACACGCCAGGCCGGACGCAGGTAACTGCGGCGACGGCCCACCCGGCAGGATCTGCACCGCGTGGCACACGCCAGCAGTGCCGTTCGCGAACCGGCTGCGCGGTCGAGACTAGCGAAGTCGCCATCCCACTCTGCGTAGGGTTCCGCCGTTGTCAGAGGAGAAGTGGAAGAGCTTGCTGGAGGACATTCTGGAGATGCAGAAAACCGTGTACAAGTGCCTGGACGAGGAGACGTGCTACGAGGTGTGTGGCGTTTCCTGCGCTAGAGATGGCCCGCGGTGTAGCGTGGTTGTCAAACCCACCTTCGGCTCGAGCACACGCACCAATATCAGGACTCTCCGTGTGTTGCAAGGCTGCTGCTGCGACCTTTGCTCAGGAAGAGGTCACTCGTTCTCCTCTGCTGCCCAAATCATCTGGACCTCCCTTCTCCCAGCCGTCTGTGCTGTTGGCCCCCTGCCCCTGTTGAAGGCCAGGCTCAAGACTTTCCTCTTCTCCTCAACCGATGAATGACTGCACGTTTCTGTAGATTCACATAAAAACCCATAGACTCTATGCTGCCAGTTCAGGTCCAGACTCAGAACATCAACTTACTTACACTTGAGAACCCAGTGCAATCACAGGTGGCTGCCTAGATTCAAACCCAGCATCTCAGTGGTGCCAGCTCAGTTCAGATATTCAGTTGGCATGGTTGAAACGCTTTGCGATGGCACGAGCGGAGGTGGGCATGTGCCGGCACCCGCAGGTCTTCACCGAGAGCCTGCTGTGCTCGGGCCGGGCCGAGACGCTGCAACTGGCCGCTCGCATGGTGCAATGTAGCGCCGTGCAGCCGGTGCGGCCTCTCACGGCCGCCGGGCCGGGGCGCCTGCAGCCCAGCCAGCGCCTGGCGTATGCCCGCAGCCTGGAGCTGGTGCTGGGTGCCGCACGCGAGTACTTCAACGCCTCCAAGTCGCTGGCGGACGACAGCATGGACATAGCCAGGTGGGTGACCATAACCTCAGAAGCCCGTTACCACTAGGCCTGCAGCGATTCGCTTGCCGCCGTCTCCTGAGTGATTTTGTGGATTGTTGTAGATTGAGGTCACGTTCATCGGTCCTGTTATTTTTGTCTCGTTTTTATGTTTTAATTTCTATCTGGCAATCGGCTGTGGCACTAGCCACACCGCCCCCTCGTGTGCTGTGTTGGCTTTTATAGGTGCTGGCAAACAGTACTTGCCCCACCAGTCTCTTAAGGCTATGGGGGGGGGGGGGGTTGTCTTTGTGTGTGTGTGTGTGTAGGGAGTGTCTGAAGCTGATCACGGACGCACCCCCCAGAGTGCAGGAGGAGCTGGATCTCATGTCAGCGCTCGCACTGCTGGAAGAGTTTAAGTTGGAGATGCTGCCCCTGGAGGGTAGGCTGAGAGTGCTGGACATGCAATGTGGTGGTCACATGACATGCATGCATGATGGGAGTAGTGCCTTCCTTCATGTGTTGTTAAATCTCCCTGGAGGGTGAGAGAGGAGTGTAAAATCGGTTGCTTCCTCCTTCCCGTCACCACCACCATCATCGTGACTACCACCAGCATCATTGGTACCACCGTCAACATCTTTATCACCATTGCAATCATCGTCACCACCACCATTGTTGCCGCCACTGTTATCGCCATTACACCCACCACTGTCTCTACCACAATCATATTCATGATTACACCACCACAACCTCTATCCCTATGGCTATCTCTGAGATAACTTCTTTCCCGCCCTGCTCTAATTTCCTCCCCCATCTGAAAATAATCTAAATAATTGACCTCGTTCAAATTGCCTTGTTTTTTGAATAGTGATCCTCTGTTTATACAGCATCTTGGGATGCGGTCGCATAGGACGCTGTGTAAACCACATTCTGCTGTACATTTCCAGCAAGGAATCCGCATTCAGAGGCCACTATCATCGTCATCCCCTCGCTCGGCAAGCAGCGCACTAGTGGCATGGCACATGTACAGGCGGCTGCGGCTGTGTAACTCCGTTCCCTGCCCGTGCAGTACGCTTGTGCCAGGACCGGCTGTCCCTTATCAAGAAGGTGATGGAGCAGTCTTCCTGGGCATACAAGTACCCCAGCAAGATGCTGCACCTGGCCACCTTGCTGCGTGTGGCCGGTACGTCCTCTCAGCTGCCTCGTAGGTCACCCACAGGCTCGCTCATCACCCCAACAATCAGAAGGGCGACTTCTTGCCAGTGGTGGTGGAGCCGCGTATGGTTCTGGTGGCTGTCGTCACTGTGGCACCATTATCGTAGCACCTCCGATTAGCACGGTTGGCTACGTAGTTCAACGTACTTACGTAGCGTGTGCGAGCAGATGTCACATGTTATTTTGACATCACAGAATCTGTTCATTTAACTGCTAATCGAGATCTCTTCTATACAGCTCTCTCATCTCTATGTCTCTTAGCGGGATGTAGTTTGGTAGGCCACTGCAGGAGGGCCGTCACTTGAAGCACCCTAGCTTAAATGGTCAGAGAGGTGCCTCGTCTCTCTCGTCCCTATACAACAACGCACTTCGCTTTTTCATCGCCCGTTCCAGCTCCCTCTCATTTCACAAGCACAACCCGAATTGGCTCAACGGCTCCCTTTGGGGTCACCACTGTGGCCTCCCCTCGCCGTTTGGGCTCAGTGTCAGAACGGCGAGTTTGGTGTTGACGGGGCAACCTGTCGACCGCGTGCTGGCTGCGTGCTGGCCGCGTGCAGGCTCGGATCGCATGGAGCGGAGTGGCCAGGTGCTCACGCTGCTGGCGGAGCAGGCGCTGCAGGCCCACGATTACCGATCGACCTCCCGGTTGTGCCACCAGATCATCTCCGAGGGTACCGGCACCACCGCAATGCACGCAGCCCCCCCACCTCTCACACAAACGTTTTCCTACGAACGTCTATAAAAATCGGGGTGGGTGCATTGATTTAATTTCTTGTGAGTAGGGATATGTTTTCGCCAAATCGTTGATTTTTCCAAATGGGGTTCCACAGCACCCATGCTCTGGATTGAAGTTATAATCTGTCACACAAATTGCTTTTGTGTGTACCTGCTGTGTCTGCTCATTGTGTCGTATGCACACGTTTGTGTACTGTGTGTATTTGTACAGGGCTGAATGTATGCAGTATTAATAATAATTATATTATTCATTACCAAGCGATAACCCATTGAGATAACGAGTCTCCTTTTCAAGGTGACTTCAGTCTACAGGTGGCAGCGATATCATCATGCGCTCTGTGCACGCACAAGGAGGCTTTGTGTAAGCGCTGTGCTGCGTGCGGTTACCGTGCCATGGGTACTCATACGGTGCTATGGGTGTGCAGCCTACGGAGGCGGCTGGTCCGTGTGCAGCTCGTTGGCGCAGTGTCACGGAGCGCTCGAGCTCCCCGAGCGTCAGGAGCTGTTGGCGTTCGCGCTCACGCACTGCCCCGCCGACACCATCCAGTCCCTGCTGGCGGCCAGCTGCAGCCTGCGAGCTCAGGTCTGTCCCTCCCTCCCTGCCTTCCACCCTCCCCATACCCATGTGTGAGCCTCTAGAATATGATGCCTTTCTTTAACTCCTCATAGATGCTGTACGAGAGTGTGGATGGGCACGGGGAGACCATGAGGAACAACTCGAGTGAGCAGCACGTCCAGGTGTGGCCGCAGCACCAACACGACATCGCGGGCTGCACTCGCTCTGCTCGCCGCTGTTACTCACGCGCACGCACACACGCCCACACACACACGCACGAGTCGCCGCGCGTGTCCCGTGCGCTCACGACGCGTTTGCCACGTCCCTTGCGCGTGTGTCACGCGCGTGCCGCCGCGTGCTCTCGCTCGTCACCACGTCGAATCCAGCTGGAGGAGCTGGACAGGGGAGGCCTCCTGCAGAAGACGTCGGCGCTGACTGCCGGCGTCATCGCGAGCACCACGCATGGCACGCGCGTCGCCCTGCATGCCATCGCCCAGCCGCACCTCTGGGCCAAGTCCCTCTCGTACCTGCGCCCACTGCAGGTGCCCTTGTCCCCTATCCCCACCCAAGCCCCCGGTCCTGACATGGTAACATTTAGTCCTCTGCTCAGTGGCAGATCTTTGCCTCAAACTCCCTCCAATTGATCTCATATTGAGTTTTCTCACTCAATTCACTCTACCCACCTTTTTTTCATTTAAGACACCAAGCAACATCTTTCTCTTTCTGCCTCTTTCCCAACTTCCTTCGTTTGAGAAGAACTTCCTCGAGCTCTCCAACAACTGAGAATGTTGCCCAATCCACATCCTTTGCCTTTTCTGGATCATTACCCTTCTCTCCCCCTGAACCCGCTCTATAACGTCCTCTTTTCTCTTTCTGTCCATCTTCGTTCGCAAATGTTCACTCCTAACATGGTGACGCATGGAAAAGACGCTTTGGCTGGCATTCGCGTGAGCTGCCATCCCGTCATGTGCCCTATTGTGCGTGCCTCGGTGAGCCGTTGCCGGGGCGCACTGCGTCCACGCCGTGACCTTGTGTGCCGTTGGTGATTTGGCAGACCGCCACAGAGAATGACAAGGCTCCTGAGTCCCGGAGCAGGGCGGCCCCAGAGAGACAGGCGTGGCACCCTTTCTACGCCTCGCTGGGTGCAGACGGCTCGGGATACAAGGCAAGCAGGCGCTCGATGGCGGGAAGGCGTTAACCCATCTACACCTCTACACAACAAAAGCAACGAGATTTGTTTTATACAGCAACTGCATCTAAATGCAACTGCATGTCAAGGCACCGTGCAGAAAAAGTGGAAATAATTGTTTTATAGAGAGAGACAGAGGAAGTCGTAGACCAAGGATAAAAGGGAGGTCAACATCGTGGATAGCAGGGGGGAAAGGAGTCGTCGGGTTAGACTGCAACACCATGGCACAGCCCAGGCTCAAGCAGCAGCACCACCAACAACAACTCCAAAAAGTGCCAGAGCACCCAAAGATGCACCGGCTCTCGGTGTCCCATCATGCACCATTCCACTTTGGAGAGGACTTTATTGATGCAACGTTTGCACTGGGCGTACGTGCTGCAGGGAGGGGAGCTCTACCCGGACTTGGCAGTGGCTTCGGTGCGGCAGGCGGAGCTGCACCTGCAGGCCGGGAAGCTGCTGGAGACGAGCGGAGGGGGGCTCCACCCCTTCCCGGCTTCTCAGGGTACGTGCCGCACACGCGATAACGAGGGCCGCGCGTCCAGAAAAAGTTTCAAGAGACCATGCCCATCGCTAAATCAGCACCTACAGGTAGCTCCTCCTTGTGGCTCTAGACGTCCACTCCGTGTGCGATCTAGACGCCCACTCCGTGTGCGATCTAGACGCCCTCTCTTTGTGTGATCTAGATCGCCCACTCTGTGTGTGATCTCACATCTGGTCACAATTTGTATTGTGCACATTTCCGAGCCACATGTATCCTGCGCTTCCATATTGTTTTGTTCACATAGTGCTGGGCCGAGTCGTTTGCCGTATGGTGGCGTTCCTCTCTGCATCTTGCCAACTTGCGCCACTGGGTGTCCCTGTTTCTCTCTGTGTCTCCCTGTGTCCCTCGTGTATGAGTGGCCCTTATTCACCAGTGTGGCCCCCCATGTATCCCACGTCTCCTTGCATCACCTCTCGTCACCTCCTGTCTCCTCGTGTCACCGTGCGCAGTCTTGCTGGAATTGGCAAGTGAGACGATGTCCACCGACACGACACTGGCGCTCGCCTATCTGCTGGCACTGTCCGACGTAAGCACTGACGCTCACAGTCGTGTGTGCAGCGAGGGCTCGGAAATTTCTGTGAAACCGCGGTAGAGAAACCACCCTCTTTGGAGGCAGAGCAGCAAACTATAATGTTGTACTGTACCTCTACACTCCCACATCTATACTTGCTGCCTTTACCAACCCACACAGACCAGGCTGGTGAAGTATGATCAAATAACCGTCAGCTGCACAGGCACGGGGAAGCCCCGTCCAGCAATGGATCGACAAACGGCTGGGATGTACATGTGGGGAATGTTTACTTGGGGTTTTAGGGAGAGTATGTTCGTGAAGGAGTGACAGGGAGTGTTAAGGGGACGAGGGAGAGTGTTAGGGACCGTGAACGTGGGGTTTCTATGTGATGAAAATGTGATTGTGTCAACGATTATGGGAGTGTTCGAGGGCATGGGAGCCTGAGCGAGGGCCTGTGTGCGTAACGCTCCTCTCGCCTGTCGTGTCCGTGCAGCCCCTGGAAGCAGACGTCTGCTTTGAGAGGCAGAGTGCGACGGCACTGTCGCTGCAGCTTGCGGTCTACTACTACGCGCTGCAAATCCACGTGCGCCTGCAGCCCAGCAGCGGCCATCCCGACTCAGTCTACTGGGCAAGTCTCACTCTCACACTGGGTTCGAGTCTACTCGCTCGCACATACACTCACACTGGGCTCGAGGCTACACGCTCTTGCATACACTCATAACAGAATAAAAACCAGTCTTGCACACACTCATCAGGATAGTTACCCTCACAAGTAAAAACCAGGCTAGTCTAATGCACACTGAGATATTCTCAGACATACACACACACTGAGGCACAGGCTACTCGCACACAAACACCAATAGGTATGCACAGTATATTCTTGGTTCTTTCGGTAAAGTCACGTTGAAGGGAAACAATAAAATAATAAAATATATATAAACAGGGCTGGTAACACACCAGGCTCGACTTATACATGAGCAGTACACATACACACATTAAGCAGAACACACACATGGCCAGCACACACACATACAGACCAAGCATAATACAATGAACTTTGTCTTCATAAAGATCAAGCTGCCTTGATGAAGCTGCTAGACGTGAGTGCCTGGCGCTGTGTGTCCCCCCAGGCCGACCCGAGCGAGGTGGTGGCCCTAGCGAGTGAGCGGATGGCGGCAGGAGGCTCGGCGCCGGCTGTGGCCGCGCGCCCTGAGGAGCTGGCCATGCTGGAGGGGCGGCTGCGCCTCTACAGCGAGCGGCTCACCGACCTAACGCAGGCACAGACGTTGCACACCCTTGGCACCGGTGTGGACGTGCAGCGCTTCGCCGTTGACGCTCAGTACAAGCGCGGGACCATCCTTGGCCTAGTCGAGTGAGGGACGCGACGCGGGACACGCGTTGGGGCGTTCACACGCGCACGGGCCTCTCTGACCGGTCACACTCACGGATCTCACACCCACGTGTGTGACGTCTCATCTGCCGTGCGCGTGTGCCATTGTGCGTGGCACCGCATGGCACCTTGCGTTGTGTCTTTGTGTCTCTCCGCATGTGCCGCCTAACATTGTGTATGCGTCGTTTCGTGTGTCCCGTCGTGCGTTTTTTGTCTGCTCGTGTTGCGTCGTGTGTCTTCTGTCTCCCTTATGCTATGCCGTCATGCTTGACACCATGTGTGGTAACGTGCGTCCCATTTTGTCTGTAATGCTATGCATCGTCTTGTGTGCCGTCGTGCATTTGCTATCACATGTGATGTCGTGTGTCACCGTGGGTGCCATGTCATGCATGTGCAGTCGTGTTTGATGTCACGGGTGACGCCATCTGTACGTGTCGACTGGTGCATGTTGTGCCGTTGTCATGCTGCCTTAGGACCCTGGACGACGCCACCTACGAGCTGTCCATGTCGCTGGCGCGGCGCTACGAGATGCCGCTGTGGGAGCTCTACATGACGCACCTTGAGTTCCTGTTCACGGATAGCGGGTGAAGCACCACACACAGCGCCCCATCTCGTAGCGTGCCACAACACCCACGGATGTCTTACAGTGGCTCCCCGCCCCAGCGTGTATCGCCAATAACATTTTGAAAAATCAAAACTACTCTAAAAGTGTCGTCAATTTTTTATATAAAAGTTGTAAATGGAATTGAAATAATTGTGCAATAGGCATTAATAAATTGCTGGTGTTTTGTAAAAAAATCTGAACAGTTCTGTGCACCAATTCACACCGCCTTGTGGGCCACCATTTGCCTGCGGATCACAGGTTGGGAACCGCTCCCATAGACAATGATGACGATGGTCACCATGGTTAGACCTTCGGTTGGAACAGCTTGGAAACGTGGCACGATGTAGAATAGCGATACCACAACTGTGCGTTTCAGTGTCCGCGCCCCACATCAATTGAAACACTCTTGGAGTCCGCACGCCACTGACTCCCCCCATGTGCCCACGCTGCTGGCACCCCGTGCGCGTGCCCAGGTTGGCGACGCGGCAGGTGGAGCAACGCGTGACGGCGCTGGGGCTCGTGTCGGAGTTGAAGGCCGACCCGGCCGGCGTGCTCGATCACATGACCAAGTATGTGTACCCCGGAGTGCCGGGCGGTGACCACGCACGACTGCTCTGCTACTTTGGCCTGCTGGAGAGCTGCGGCTGCGGCGACCACGGCGCCCATCCCGGCAAGCCAGGCGCCCACTTGCAGCTGCTCAGGAAGCTGCGGTCCACCATGCCTGGTCAGTGTCGCGCAAAGCCAAACGCGGGCCAAGCGGGACGCAGTGTTCCCATGGTGCCTAAAATGATGATATTGCTCACCCGTACGTCACCCAGCAGCGGTGTTCACTACTGAGTGTGCAGGCGGTTCGACTGAACCTAGCCCATGGACCAGAGGCGCCCAGTGTGCCGGGCTATGCAGAGAGAGGGAATGCAGATAGAAAGGGGGGCCCTTTTGGTTGCACCAGGGCACAAACCAAGCAGTACCTCTGACTATGGCTTCTAGTCACATGCCTCCTCCCGGTCTCACCAGCAAAAATATTCGGTGAGAAAATGAAGCCCTGGTGCGCGGCCGCATGTGTCGATCGCTGGCAGTAACTCTTCTCCCACTCTGTGCCGCACCAGGCCTCAACTACAAGAAGCTGATGGACACGAGCGCCAACCCGCTGGATGCGCTGCGGCCCGTGCTCACGTCCCAGAACGTCACCACGGTGGCCAAGCTGGTGCCCAAGCTACCCACGGCGGGCGGACTGACGCAGAGCGCCGTGTTCGCCACGTGGCTGCGCCGGCTGTTCTGGAACGGCACCGGAAAAGATGGCGACGAGGTGGACTGGGGCAGGCGCTACCGCGACTGTGAGCAGCTCCTGGGCAGACTCTCACCACCTGACCTGGACGCCTTTCTTCAGGAGGTCACCGTCTCCGCAGACGCCGTCGATCAGGCAAGGCCACCACTCTCGACCCTGTCCCGCTGTGTGTGTTTTCTCGGCGTGTTTATGTTTGTGTTTCTTTTGGACGGTTACCCTCTCGTTTGTGAGTCCATTGGTGATGTGTGCAGCATTTGTACCAAGGCTACACTTCGTGACTTACCACTTTGATATGGCCTGTGACCAATATTTATCTGTCACTGCAAGAACATTAGCTGCACTACTGGCAACAACACCATTTCTAATTTTAGCACCGCGCTCAGTTCCTTATGTCACTCCAAGAGCCTCTTCATTCACGGTTGACAAGCACGTGTTTTTTGGTGTTGTTATTGCGTTCCACTTCGGTGTGTGTCTTTGGCTTTCCAAAGGTATATTGAAAGTCCTATTCAGTCACCTGATGGGAAAGGTTCCCCCCACCCCTGGTGCATGAGCCGGAAGGCAGACGATGAGATAAGAGCAGTTGTCGCTCCGTGTGAGTGCCCCTCTAGCAAGCCCCCGGTCCCTGTGTCGCCAAGGAGCTGTCCTCCCTTCCAGCTGCCGATCAAGACGCGGGTGGACACGGCGGAGCGCGCCGCCGCGTTTGTGGAGAAGCTCAAGGGGCGGCCCACCTCCCGCAAGAAAGGGGGGGGCGGCGGGGGCTCCGTGGACGATGGCGAGGAAGCGGCGGCAGATGCCGGGTGCGAGGACGGCGCGCGCACGCTGGACGACGTCGCGAGTCGACTGCACGCTGTGCGGAAGCACCTGCAGTCCCTGCGGGACGATGCCATCGCTGCGCTTCGGCACAGCGAGCAGGTATGCGGTCTCTCTTTCCTGAGCACGCGGTACGGTTGCCGTCACGTAAAGTTACAGTATATCAATTTGCTCCTCCTGCGCCCAGTTACATCAGCGCTGAAGTGGTGGCACCTTGGAGCACTTGTATGCAAGTTCATAAGTTTGCCTTTCTCTGCTTGGTTTGCCGCAATAAAACATTTTCGTGACGTAGTATCAATTTTCATTAGATGGCAATTATAGTGAGCTTTAGCTTCCTTACTTTTAATTGTATTTTGCATTTCTATCTTGTTATTTTTGTGCTTTACTGTGCTTCACTGTGCTTCCAGGCTTACTCTAGTTGATGCAGGAAAACAAGCGTGTTTAATGGGCAACGTAGCACGCACGCGTCGGTACATTTGTGTACTATGCACTCACACGTGCTCACCCTCACAGGAGCAAGAGCGTGCCTATGCGCGCGCCTTCGACCTGGCGTGCTCGGAGGAGAAGACTGTGCTGCAGCTGGCTCTGCGCTTGGCGCTGGATGGGCGGCCGCTGCCCTGCGTGCACGGCGTGCTGCGTGCGGCGCTGGGCGAGCGTCGCGACCGCGTGCGCGACGCAATTCACCGAGCTGTCCTCACAATCGTCAACGCGCTCCAGTAACTGCCACCAACCCTCCCTTTGCCACGTCGTATGGCGCCGGTGATGTAGACAGAGGGGCTGCAAGGGGCGAGCCCTCAGTCTTGGTTCCTCGAAACCGCCCCTCGGCCTCAAGGCCGGCTAGAGGTCTCATTCCCTCGGGGCTTGTCCTTGATTTTGGCCTCGGTCCCAGGACTTGGCTGAGAGCTGCGATCCTTAACATGGCTTCGGCCAAGAGCACCAGACTTTGACTGGCTTTGACTGGTCCCCAACTAAGATGCACCTGGCTTTGGCTCCGGCTTGGCCTCGAATCCAAGGCAGTTTCCTGACAATGTGTACCACGGTCTCTCAGTGCGCTCTCCCAGTTGTCTGTATCGATGTCGCATGTAGCAAGAGTTCTTTACAGGAAACTTTTTTTTACCAAAAGTCATGGCTACTGTGCCAAGTGTGATCTTCTGAGTTGGATCGGGTTTTGAGCGTTGCTCCTCTCAAGCTTTCTCCACCACGCACGACTCCAGGCATCGTCAGGAATTTAAGAAGAAGTTGAAGAGTAGTCAAAGTCAACGTATGTCAAAGAGTCGACGTCTGCAGTTACCCGCAGTAGTGCGTGGCGAAAACCTGACAGAAACACTCCCCGCGCAGCCTAACCCGGAGCACCACATTCGGAATACAAGCCGCCGAGCCGCCTTACGCGCAGAGTCACACTTCGGGATTGTGACGAAGAGGGCCATGCGGTCGCGCTGAGCTGCTCGCCCGTGCCTCCTTCTCTGCAGGGAGCGGCCGGAGGCCGTGGAGCTGCTGGGCGAGAAGGCACCACTGGAGGCGCTGGAGGGGATCGTGTCGGTCGTGCGCTCCCACTCCGAGGACGGGTAAGGCGCCGTGACACAGGGAGCCCATGAGTGCTGCCCCCTGGTATTTTGGGCCAGGCCTGGGAGTCGGTTTGCCCTTCTTCATTTGTGCGTTGGGCAGTTAATCAGAAATGCTTATACGTCAATATGGAGGTTGGCGAATGAGCCGGTGGACGGCTTCAGGAGTTGCCTGGTGAACTTCTAAAATGCTACCGGCGAATTGTCAAAGTGGGCAGTGGAATTACGATGTTGGCAGTCGCACTGGACTCTTCTTAATTACTGGATGGTTATGTAAGGCAAAGCAATACAACTTGGATAATCCACCGACTGATAATCGAGAATTAGCAGTGATTGTCGCCACTAGTTTATTGTTCCCTGCTGGTGTCTCGCTGTGTGCAGGGGGAAGCTGGTGAGCGCCGACAACCTGCTGTCGTGGCTGCGCCCATTCTGCACCGACGCGGCGCTGCCGGTGCGTCCTCGCGTTGCCGTGCTGCAGATCCTAGAGCAGGCGTTCCGGCTTGGAGATGAGGAGGGCCACCTCCTCGCCTTCTACCGCACGCAGGCTGTGTTGACGGACGCCTGGCCCCACCGAACGGTGAGTGATGTCGCTGGCCCTGCTGGGTTCTGGCTAAGGGACCAGTGGTTCTATTCTGGCAGTGCTGTTGGATGCATTAATGCTATTCTGGTCGGGCTGCTGATCTGATGGTATTCACAATACGTTGCTTCTAGTGCTGGCGGATCACTTATACCCCTTTTCCAATGGCACACCAAAGCTGAACCAGCGTGGCTGGTTTTCCACCGGCTGTTTGTCATACCAAACCGTGAGGACACGGCGTCACCTACATGCATCTCGACTTGGCCATCGTGTGTGACATCAACAGTGCGGCTTTCCTACCACAGTTGAAAAACAACCTAGTGCCTCCTGAGCTGCGTCAGGCATTGGCGCAGCTTTGGTCTATGGTGGAAAAGCAGTATCGCTGCTCTTCCACCACTGTGTTGGTGCTGATCGATGGGGTCTGTTGCAGCTGGACATGGCAGAGGTGTGTGACGAGGAGGGGCGGCTGCGTCTCTTTGAGGAGCTGCTAGGCGCCAGCGTGACGCCGCCCCTCGTGCCGCACCTCGTGCTGCTGCTGCAGGCCTGGCCGCCGATGTCCAACACCACACTGTGAGTGGCCTCCTCTCCTGTCTACTCGGCAATGGTTGCTTGGCAACCTTGCAACCGTGTTGCTAGGCAACTACATTCTCAGGCACAACTGAATAGGCAGTGAACCCACCGAGTTAAATGATTCATCGATTCGGTGATCGAAATCTATACGTATGCTCACGATATACGCATTGAATTCTGCATGGAAGAATTTGTTTTCATTTTTGAAAATGATTTGCACGTAAAATGCAAATAACACCTGGAAAACATGGTATGTTCAAACAGACAAAGAAAAACACAACTACACAGGGCTGGATTTGTCATTTTATTGTTGGACATTTGGATATGTGCAGCCAATCCAATAAAAATTTTCACTTTATTTGCAAGCGATTATCTATTTTGGCAAGTAAACTGAAAGTTAACTATGCAGTGCAAATACATGTGGTTGCTGCGTGCAGAGCAAGCCGTGACGCTTGCCCCTGGCTGCATCTGGCGGCGGCGGTGCTGTCGGCAAGCTCCTCTCCTGCCGAGACAGTCGAGGCTGGTGCCACGATCCTGGGAATCTCGCGATCGCTGCACGGCACGCGGCACGCGCTGCCAACGCCGGTATGGGGCTGGGCTCTGCACGCCACACGGCGCTTACGGTGCCACCACCGGCCAATCCTTCACGTCGTCATGAACACTGGGAGTTACAGCTGTGTTGTTGGAAAGTCGCAATTGTGAACATAGTACCGGTCCTTCCAGCGTGCCTTGTGTCTCATGTGACATCACCACACTGCGTGTGTAACGTACACAGCTGTGTTTTAGACCAACTGTAAAGGGTAAAAATTGTGGCCGTATTAATTTAGAGAGCAGCATCATCAGCAGCAGCAAGACAAGGGGACCTCTGCACACCAGGTTTGTCCTTGTTAGGAATCATCAGCACAGTTCGGCCATCATTGCCTCTGCTGCCGCCTTGTGCCTCCGGGACTCACCTCCGCGTGCTGCGGATGGTGCGGCGTTGTGAGATGAGGTTTGTTGGCATGACGATAAATGAAAAAGCCCCGATGATTATCATTATCATCATGGGACCTCCTTTGCCAGTACCAAAATATGAGAATAGATTTTTCCCCTCTTATCTGGCAACAAAACAGGTGTTAAGTTGTTAAAACACCTAACTGAAACCTTTTACAAGGAATCATGTCTGCATTAACCACAATACTTGTGGTCAAAGTGCAAACGAAAAACACTCTGATAATATATGCATTGTATTTGAAACTGATTTGTCCGCACCAGTGACAGCTTTCCTCGTCTCAAACGGTGTTAGACCAGAGGACGCCAAAAGGCGTACAGCACCAAGACAATGGACTATCAGAGTAATGAGAGCTCGGGGTGAGCATCGACATCATGGGACCTCCTTTGCCAGTACCACTGTGGGGACAGCGTGGCCACTGCCTGGGGGCGACAATGAACCAGCTCTAGCGCTCTGTGAACGGCGAGAAAGCTGTGCGCAAGCTGCACGCAAATGAGTGTAACAATACACGCATTGGGAGAATAATTTACCTACGTGGAAATCCCTCCTGGTTCTGGTGTCGGTCTGGCACACAGCCACGTTCAGGTCATAAAGCACAGAGGCATTGGGTCTCTGTGTGTCTGCCCCCTTATGCGTCTCCCCCTTGTGTCTGCCCCTTGTGTGTGTCTGCCCCTTGTGTGTATGTGTGTGTCTGCCCCTTGTGTGTCTGCCCCTTGTGTGTCTGCCCCTTGTGTGTCTGCCCCTGTGTGTGTGTCTACCCCTGTGTGTGTCTGCTCCTTGTGTGTGTCTGCCCCTTGTGTGTGTGTGTGTGCACCTGGCTGCAGTGCGTGGAGCAACTGCTGGAGCTGCTGCTGGAGCGCTCCCTGTTGCTGCCGGCGCTGAAGCTCGCGCTGGACGGCGGAGAAGCGCAGCTGCACAAGCGCGCGATCGGCCTCATTACCACCGCGGTCACTGAGGTGCGCGTGGCTGGCCCAGCCACCCCAGCCTCAGATCATCGGTTATATTAATAACAGCAGCATCGATAGCCCAAATCGCAATTACATTGTGATTACTCATTTCTTTAGAACTGCTTTTTGTGTTTAGTTTGTTGTCCTTCCCCCCCCCTGCAAATCCGATGAGCACAGTTAGCTACGTATGGTATGAAGTTTAACATACATACAATTATTATGAGTTACGCAATTACAACTTTAGCGGACCACGAGTTCGTCTGAACTTGCAAGACAAGGTCGTTTCACCGTCATGGTCTCCGCGACGTGGTTAAGTTACTCAATCGACCACAAATTGTAATCGGCTAATTTTATTTGTGGTAGATTACATGGCCTCCTCTAAACATGGCAGCCATCCTGGCATCCTGCCTCCTGAAGGTGGGAAACCCCCTCCAAGCCACACTGAGCGCGACTCAGCTGATGATGGCCATGTTGTCAAGAAGCCCCGCCCATCACATCCCATTCAGCGACACACTTGGAAACAAATCTGAGAAATTAATTCTCAACTATTTCTGTGTTACACGATGAGTGAAACAATTAAACCGATAATCGGTAGAGTGATCAATTCCTTTAATAATCTGGTAGCCCAGCTCAAGCGCTACAGCAGACCGGTCAATACTGAGCACCGTGCAGTCATGGATGTTGCTTTTGAATTTTTTCAGGATGCTTATTTCTGATGTTTTGCCAGTTACGTTTTTTAGTGCGTGTCCTGTGTGTCATGCCATGTGCGCTGTGCAACACTCCACTCCCTCTATTGTGTCCCTCGAAGGTCGACCATTCCAACTGTGACCCCGAGCTGCTGGGCCTGCTGCTGACACGGGGCCTGGCCGTTGCCTGCCTGCCCACCGCCCTGTACCCGCACCTGATTGGCCACCTCCTGTCCAACTGGGAGACAGAGAGTTGGGACGTGGAGGGGTTGGCATTAGAGCTGAAGGCCGCTGGGCATGGGATGGAGGCCGCCTCGCTCGTGATGGCGCACAGACGCACGCCGCCGGCGCTTGGCACATTCAATGCCGCCGCCAGCTTCCTCAAGCAGTGGCTCCAGGGCTGACAACTTCAAGCGGAGCGAGTTACGCCCGGACGACTGACAGGGATAGTGATCCTGTGGCAAATTAAGTTGTCAAATCGAAGTTCTTCATGCCAGATCTATGTTGGCGTCGCTGTCCCTGGTACCATGAAGCGGGGAGCAATGTCATTGGCTCGCGTGTGACGAGTTATCTATTATCGAAAAGTGGAGTAATCTAATATGTAGACAGAATTTACAATGAGCCAGCCGTGTGATATGGTCGGCATGTGTTTAATCTTGAATAACATAAATGAATCCAGTGTTAGTTATTTTGTAACGCGGATGCGCATGTCTATGCGCAAGTACACGTAATGGCATGAAATGTGGACACTTGAAGACAATGTATAATGTTGGCTGAATCGTGTGCCACTGTTAAAATAAAATATACGTGTTTTTCGAGACAGAACAGCAACGTGTGTGGCCGGCGAGTTTTTGTACCAGCCCAGAACACGGGCTTGGGTCGGATATTTTCATATCTGTTGTCTTTATGAAATTCTGCTGCTGCTCGCATCAGCAGAGCTTATGTGTTGACATCGGCACAAGCCGCGGTGCGTCACACCGCAAAACTCGATTTGCCGCAGGAATAAAGATCACTCGACCGAGTCACTACGGAACATAGGAGCAACCTCTGCCAGCAGAACCTGCGTCTACAGGGCCCAGAGACTCGTGGGGTTTCGGGAAATACGAGAGGTTTGGGTGAGCGGCACGCGGCTCTTGTTGGTGTCTGACGTGACGGCTACGTGAAGATGTGTTGGGTGCGGGGGACACCTCCTCAGGGGTTTGAATCCTACAGCCGATCCGGTGGAAACCCTGGCGTGGCTACGCCCCTTGCGCACGACCTTTTCCCCGATGTCCCGAGGGCTCCGGGCACGCCTGATTAGGCGGGCGATTCCTGGCAAGATGTTTGTCTGTCAGCCCCGGTTAGCGTCCGTGCCAATTGTGCCGCTCGCCACAGAGCTTTGCCCTCCGCCCCCTCCCCTCAACTCACCTAAGCCCCTGACCACATGCATTCAAGTTAAGTGGCCAGGATGCAGAAAATCTCTGGGTCAATTCGACCTTCATGCCTCCTGAACTGATAACATGAGTACCCCTTTGTGAGAAGTCAATAAATAGGTTGTCTCGATTATCCGTGTGGATTAACAGTGCTTATGATACAAAGAGGAAAATATCTAAAAGTCGCGCTCCTCCGTGCCTTGGATTATTTGACTGCGACTGCTCCTCCTTGCCCGTGACACGGTGAGAGATGACTTCAAGAAGCCAAGAAAGGCAGATGACAACTTTGTACATACTTTCACCTCCTTTCCATGCAAATGCGGATTTATACCCTCATTTGCAAAGCTTTTGCATAATCTGTATTTGTATTAATCTTGATTTGAAGCTTTCGTGACTGCAGGAATCCATACTCTTTGGTTCTTTCGGTAAAGTCACGTAGGTATAAAATAAAATAAATCGCGACGTTTCGGGCGCAACACAAGCGTCCATCATCAGGTGGGAAAGCATGGTCTGCTGCTGAGGCAGACTTTTAAAAGGTTTGAAATGGGTGTAGCCCAAGGGTCATAAAGAAGTGGCCGGGGCTAGTGATGTTAATGTGAGAAATTAGCATGAAACTGTAAGATAGGAGAAAGCGGCCTCCTCGACGGTGCACGGAAGTGGCTATGTTAATGTGAGAGATTAGCATGTTGTTAATGTGAGAAATTAGCATGTAACTGTAAGATAGGAGGAGAGCGGCTTCCTCAACGAGGGAGTGCAACTCAACGGGTGCAATCCAAAGGGCATGTGAGTATGAGAGTGCAATCCAAAAGACGTGAGCATGAGAGTGCAATCCAAAGGCATGAGAGTGCAATCCAAAGGACATGTGAGCATGAAAGATCTGAGAGGCATAGAGAGAGAGACAGAGAGTCGGAAATAACAGCTGACATAGGCACGTAGGATGGAACATGTATTTGTATGATCAGGGTAAATCCCTCCCACCGTTACTCTGGAGTAATCGAGAGTTGACTATTGACCTCGGTCATAGCAATGTGGAATGTTCTAGATTTGAGGCTTTCGTGACTGCAAGGATCCATACTCTTTGGTTCTATTCGGTAAAGTTACGTAGGTAAAAAATAAAACAACAAAAATCACGACGTTTCGGCCACAACACAAGCGGCCTTCATCAGGTGAAGGGACCAGACTGTCTCGAAGACTTCGAGACTGTCTCGAAGACTTCGAGACAGTCTGGTCCCTTCACCTGATGAAGGCCGCTTGTATTGTGGCCGAAACGTCGTGATTTTTGTTGTTTTATTTTTTACCTACGTGACTTTACCGAATAGAACCAAAGAGTATGAATGTGGAATGTCTCTAAGTGGCTCAAGGCCCCATTTCCTGGTTGAACAGAGAGAGGCACGTTTGGGATTGGGTCTCTGAGTGTTGCTATCGCAGGTTAATCGCCAAGTCACTCAGCTGCCACGTCACGAGAGCTCAATCGGTCTCTTCTCCTCGCGCTGTTTCCGGGGCAGCCGTCCTCGTCAATGCCCGCGTCTGTCCGTAACGGGGACGATGTCGCCTGGCGCGTTTCATGCCGACACTCGCACGCGCGCGCGTTGCGTCTATACCCCCGATGCGACCCTTGTGCGGGATTAGCCATTTATAGATTTTAAAAAAATAATTTCGATTCTGCGTTGACATTAGTGCATAACCACAAATAACTCAACGCATTTGCAATCACAGTGTAATGAGCATACGCGATGACTTAATTTATAAGCTGCGTTGTATTTATATAAAATGTAATTGCAATGAGGGGTTTCATTGCATCGCTGAGCGATTTGTGAATCGCGGAGACGGTGTCTGGACAAGAGCCAGAGGCTGCGAAACAGCACTGCCAAAGCTTTGCGCACTCGGGACAGGGACACAGAGACACGGGGGCACCAAGAGACGCCATCTGCTGTGCCCGGGCAGCCCGGGGTCCAGAGAACGACGCACGCCCTTCGCACACGGCATCACAAGCACACCGGAGTGCACACCCCCATATCGGTCACACCCAACCTCAATACAGCATCATAACTCGGGAAATACACTCCCATGTAGAAGAGCACCACACTCGGCATAGAACTATCTCACAAACCCAGCGTTCCACAGGACACTGGAATCTATCCCATCGCACGGAACACCCATCACGACGCTCGAGCAATCCAGGTGCCACGACTTCCCTCCCGCCACGCCAATTAATCCTCCAAATATCCCCTCCCCCTCCTCTCTCCCGCCCCCTCCGTCCCATTCCCTCCCCTCTCCCCACCACGGAGGGGGCCCGCGCATTTTTCCGTGACGAGGCGAAACGCGAGACCCGGGCAGCGCTTCCCACTCGCGGCGCCGCTCAGCTGCCAACAGCATCAGCAGCAGCGCCGCCTCCACACCTGCAGCCCGCAGCACGTGACGGCTTCACCTGTCGGGGCTAGCGGAATACCCCTGGCACAGGCGGGGCGAGAGGTGGAGTCTCACCCGGAGGGGCGTGGCCTCACCGGGAGGAGCTTCACCTGGAGGGGCGGGGCAAGGAGGAGTCGTACCTGGAGGGAGCGCCGCTCCTCCACCATTAGACTCTCTCTGTCGCCAGGATCTGCCTCGGCTCGCGAAGTTCGTGATTGAGGCGAACGCCCGCTGAGGCGAGACCTCTGCTGAGTCGGGGATCCCTCTGGATCCCCTCTCTACCCCCAACACCAACGGGGGGCGGGGGTAACCGGACCCGACCTTCGTCCGTCTCCTGCTTCCTCCCGCTACTCCACCTGAGTCGGGCCCCTTTCATCCCCGCGGGCTCCCTCCGTGAATTTCTCCGCGCGGCTCGAGCTCCGGGAGCCATGGTGATGGGGAACCAGGTGGAGCGGCTCACGCACGCTCACTACCTCGAGGTACCCACGGCGGACGCGGCGAGCCACGACGGGGACGGCGTGCCCGGCTCCGCGGTGGCCTACATCTTCACGGACGACGAGGAGGACGAGGGCAGCGACGGCAAAGATGGAGGACGAGGAGCAGGAAGGCGAAGTGGAGGAGGAGGTGGTGAAGGTCATGGAGGAAAGGGGCCTCCCAAGGCGCGTGGGCGAGCAAGTGGAGGAGAAGAAGAAGAGAGAGGTGGACAATTGAGCACAAACGAGGTGGAGCTGTCCGCCTTCCACATTGACGAGTGCATCCTGAACAAAACCCTGGCGGGGCCCCGGAATTCGCGGGGCACCGTGGAGCCGCTGGGACCCCTGTCCGAACTGCTGCCGCGCTGCTTGCCCGGGGACCTGCTGGAGTTCTCGGCGCCGGGCGAGGTGTCCCTGTGGGTGGTGTTCGTGGGAGACGGCTACTGCGTGAGCCTGAGGGATGAGGCGGTGAGGAACGAGACGGTGGAGGCCGCCGGCGGCGGTCGCTCCGTGCGCCTCGTGTCCTCCTGCTACCAGTTTGAGGCCCTGGCCGCAGACGCGATCGTGCGCTGCGCCGTGGAGCAAGTGGGCGCAGCCGGGCAGCTGCTGTGCTGGGCCAACTCGGAGTGCTTCGCCGCCTGGTGCCGCTACGGGAGGCGGCAGTTCAAGAGCGGCAGCGAGCGCCGCAGTGACGGTCGCGGTCCCTACGCCCTGCGCCTCCACCTGAGCGGCACCGAGAGCCACGCGCTGCAGTTCCACAGCCTGGAAGACATGGTGCTGGAGAAGCGGCGCCTCGAGCGCCTTGGCAGGCAGCGATGCCTCCACGAAATGACGGCCTCCGCCAGCACCGCGTCATCCACATCGTCGTCATCCAACAGCAACAACAACAACGCCGCAACCATCGCCTCCACGGGCCGTTGGCGGTAGCGGGACGCGCGGTCGGCCCGCCCGAGGTGCGAGTGGAGCACCAAGTGGCCGCGGCGTGAGACGAGGGGTGGTGTCCGCACTTTCTCGGATCCGCCAGCCGCGTGGATCCACAGAGGCGGGATCATGAAGGAGCGCGGTGGCCATGGAGCAGCACTGCCCGGATTTTGTGGAACATGAACTCCACACGGATGGAGAAGTTTTTGTGGAGTAGCGGATCAGGGTCAGCTAGCACGACTTCTCAACTCGCCCATTTCATTGTACTGTAATACCCTCGACTCGTCTCCATCAATCTCGTCAAGTTGCCACGCCACCTGTTTCCTCACTCCCTCTCATTCGTTGTCTTTACTCATCCGTCACGACTCCCAGTGCCTCCATCACAACCATCACCATATCTTTTGATTTAAAGCTTTCGTGACTGCAGAGATTCATATTCTTGGTTCTTTCGGTAAAGTCACGTTGAAGGGAAACAATAAAATAATAAAATATATAAAAAATACAATTCTCACGACGTTTCGACTGCAACACAAGCAGTCATCATCAGGTGTGAAAACCAACGGCAAGAACATTTCCGTTGGTTTTCATCACCATATCGTCATCTTTCTCCAGTCACTCTCATCTCTTCCCCACTTATCTCCACGCACATTCATCAGCCCCCACACACCCTCACCTCTTCTCACCACCTTGTACTGAATTTACAACTCACCCCCCTACTCACTCTAAACTTTCTTCCTCACCTCCACTCACCCCACCACTCACCCTCATCACCTCCACCTCACCCGTATCTCACTCCACCACTTCTAGCTTCTCACCCCGCAACTCAGGCTCGTCTCACCGACTGCCCTCGCCACCTTTATCCGCCGTGAAGACGCTGTTGACTCGACTGGTCCACGTGGCGTCACCTTGTGGAGCCCCCGCCAGACTACTCAGCTGTTGCATGCCCCTCGCTCCTTAGAATTATCACTGCTGTTCGCTTGAGGCGCAAGGTGGCACCGGGTGATACAGGTGCGCCCAGCCAGGCAGTCAGTCCCGCCCAATCCTGTACCTGTTGCCTCTCTCACCCGCTCGTGATGCCTAGCCTGTACGCAATGCCTCCTTTATCTGTACTTGATGCCTCACCTGTACGTAATGTCTCTCACCTGTACAGGAATGTGACAGTGATATCACCAACCCACCATCACACAGGATGCAACACAGCCCACACACAAACGCCACCAGCCTTACTCCAGTTTGCTTTGTGAGTTTTAATATTTCAATAAAATTAACAATACACTACCTCCTCGCTGTTGCACACACCTGCAGATGTAAGAAAGCAGTCTTCCACACAGTGATACAGGCTGTTCAGGCAGGGCTTATTTTTATACCAGGCATACCACATCCAGTATACCTCGCGATAACCGTGGCTACTGTTTATCACGTGCCACCTATTCCGGTCGGCTGGCGACGCATAAACTACAGTAGTTGGTCAGAAATGCAAGCCCTGTGGCCCAGTGTTATGCAATTGTCCACGTTCTTAAAGGGCACCTAATACACGTGTGTATTCTACTTTATGGGGCATGGCTGCTCTTTAAGGGCATGAGCTTGTCCTTAATGAGAGCGTGGCTCTGAATCTGTGCGAACGTGCCCTTACCTGTGTGAGGGCATGGCGCTGAAGCTCTGGGGCTTGTTGCATGAAGCTTCTTGCACGAAGCCAGACGAGCAAAACCTGCTGTGCTGGCTGATTCTTCGTCTTTGATGGCTTGGAACTAGATCGTCGACAAGGCTAAATTTGGGCTGCTTGCAGTACACAAACCCAAGCCTTGGCTGAGACTTTTCGAGAGCGTGGTTGATGGTTATGGCTTGTTGTAGGTTCTGGATATACCTGACGAAAGGTTCGGGAGGGAGGGATTTAAAAGGGGTTCAACTTAACTGCGGCCCCACACTCCGTAGCCCCCCACCCCCCGCATCAAATTGCATACAATATGAGTTTGTATTTACATTATGGGGACCCCAAGCCAATGTTTTGTACTTGGGCCGACCCAACATTTCTCTCACGAAACCTGGAGGGTGAGGATGTGATGTAGGTCCTGCTGTCGAGTGCCACCGCTGTGTGGGTCTTGCTGCAGGCAGCGGATGGGAGATGCTTCTAATCCCTAGCAGCTATGTTATACAGTTTGCGATTGCTGTAGTGCTGATCGACCAGCAATGAACCAGCACGTTTTCTGAATTAGGCGGGGTCATATGAACTCGGGATGGAGGACGATGGCAGGGAGTTCTAAAGTTGACGTGTGTGAGAAAATGAGGGAGACAAACTTTATTTCCTGCACCATCAATGGAGGTTGAGTGCAGTATGAAAGCACTGTACAGGGAACCGTTAAAACTTGTAGAACAGGCTCTGGACAGGTAACAAGGCGTGAAGTTCATGAGAACAGTAATCGCGGTGGTGGTGGTAGCGATAAAAGTGCGACATGAGTCGGCTGATATTACGACAGTGGTTGTGGTCACGAGGTGCATGGGGGGAGTAACATGATCAACTGGATAACCGCACTTTTGGTTCTATGACCGAGATGAGCGCTGGCAGCTCCAGCCAATTGTGGCCGCTGCTCTGCACACGCAAGCGTGCACTTAAAACAGCAGTCATGAATCGCGGGAAGAAAAACGCGACTTTGTCACTGGAATACAACGCGGTTGGCTTTTCTCCAACGCCTAGGGTGCTGTACAAAAACACCTCCAAGCCATTGGTGAATCAATCCAGCAACTCTTGGGCATCGCGTGCCCAAGCCCCCCATGATCCCTGGGCAAGTGTGGCCACTGCCTGAGGGCCACAATAAACCAACATGCACCGCTCTGTGCGTGATGAGAATCTCCACAGACAGAAAGGTAAGCGCAGGATGGAAGCGAACGAGTGATTATCCGCGCGGAGGGACGCTGCGCTGCGTGGTGGAGCGTGAGACACTGTAATCCTGGAATCATTGAATCATCGCACTTCAGCAAAGCGCTGTGTGGGGAGCTGCCCTCGTCCGGCTTAAAAAATGCAGCTCGCAAGCAGAAAACTCGCCTCTACTCACAAACGCAATCATCCCATTCCTCGAGCCAGTCAGAAGCGGCTTGGGGCGAGCGGGTAACGGTGAGTAGAGGGGGCCTCGGCGGAACCGGCTAAGCGTGCAGCTCAAGGGTCCGGGCCGCGGTGGCACCGGGCACGCCACTGCGGCCACGCGCGGCGTGGGGTCGCGCGTGGGGCCACGGACGGCGCGGGGTCGCGCGTGGGGTCACGGACGGCCCCTGCGCGCGGCGCTGGCTGACGCAAGCGACCTTGAAGCACGCCCATGCGGGACGTTGGGATCGCGTCGCAAGTGAAATTACATTTTGTTATGTAATTCCTGACAGAGAAAAGCGGAAAAAATGACGAAATGTGCAGTGGAGTGGACACCTACGGACTATCTGCCCATGGATCGTGATAATGTAATTCCTGGGCCCGTATCCGATGGCCCACGACCTTCAGCCGAGTCGGTTCTGCAATTGGCTGATCGGCCGTCCAGGTCGGAGTCGCGTGAACGTCGGCTGCACTTTGCCCACGGCGTCGCGAGCGAGTGTGCAGGTGGTGCAACTGCACAGGTGTCCACGGGTGAAGGCGGAAGGGGTCCCCACATTTAATTTCTTGCACCAAGTCTCATGCCAACCACGCTACGCCTCTGCAGTAGCACACGCCACGAAGATGCCACGATGGCAGTTAATGGCACAACAGTGGTGTCCCAAACAAGAACGATACGGAAGAGCTGATGCGGAGACAGCCCTGGTTCTCTCTCCTGCCCCGACGACAGTGGAGACCGCTGTCAACCGCGTCCCAACAACAACACGTGGAGGAAGAAGTTGTGGGATATTTCCTCGATTGATGAAAGATCAAGGACTCCACCAAGCTGCGAATGCGATGAGGTGCAATCCATCAGGCGCATATATTGCAGGTGACTGCCAAATACACGCGCACTCTGGTGCAGCAAGCGGACGCCACTCGGCTACCACCCCGGGTGTCGTGGAATGGCTTCCAACATTCAACACACCACTGTCGCCTGCTGCTTAAACTCCATACACACGAAGTGCGAAAGCCATGGCGAGACGCAGAGAGGAATGGAGAAAGCGACACGAGGACATGTGTCCGGAGAGATGTGGAGGTGGAGAATGACGCAGAGAACTGTGAAGTGGCGGCCCTGTGGATGGCGTCAAGCAGCGTCGAGAGGGTGGCCAGAGCGAGGCAGCCGGCGGTGTCAGCTCCGGGATCAACAGCACGAGATCCACTCTGCGGCAAGTCAACAGTGGGTCAGAATAATAATCAATAATAATAATACTGATGCCCTGCTCATACTCAAGACTCCTGTTTAGAAAGATCCTGTTCATCCTGAGGTTCAAGACTCCTGTTTAGGAAGATCCTGTTCATACTGAGGCTCACGACTCCTGTTTAGGAAGATCCTGTTCATACTGAGGCTCACGACTCCTGTTTAGGAAGGTCCTGTTCATACTGAGGCTCAAGACTCTTGTTTAGGAAGGTCCCGTTCATACTGAGGCTCACAACTCCTGTTTAGGAAGATCCTGTTCATGCTGAGGCTCAAGACTCATGTTTAGGAAGGTCCCGTTCGTACTGAGGCTCACGACTCCTGTTTAGGAAGATCCTGTTCATACTGAGGCTCAAGACTCCTGTTTAGGAAGGTCCCGTTCATACTGAGGCTCAAGACTCCTGTCTAGGATGATCCTGTTCATACTGAGGTTCAAGACTCCTGTTTAGGAAGATCCTGTTCATACTGAGGCTCACGACTCCTATTTAGGAAGGTCCCGTTCATACTGAGGCTCAAGACTCCTGTTTAATAAGGTCCCGTTCATATTGAGGCTCAAGACTCCTGTTTAGGATGATCCTAATCTTAGTTCTTTCGGTAAAGTCACGTTGAAGGGAAACAACAAAATAATAAAATATATATAAAACAATAAAAATTCTCACGACGTTTCGACCATAACACAAACGGTCGTCTTCAGGTGTGTCGGTTTGCATAAATTTATTTATTTTTAAACGGTGTATTTATTTATTTAAAAAACGTTGGCGCCACGCGCAGCGATTTGCCAGTTTATTTAGACGGACTAGTCCATCTATGTTCTGAAAAGAGGAGGGAGACGATTTTTTAAATAAATAAATACACCGTTTAAAAATACGTTAATTTATGCAAACCGACACACCTGAAGACGACCGTTTGTGTTATGGTCGAAACGTCGTGAGAATTTTTATTGTTTTATATATATTTTATTATTTTGTTGTTTCCCTTCAACGTGACTTTACCGAAAGAACTAAGAATATGAATTACTGCAGTCACGAAAGCTTTAAATCAAAATTTAGGATGATCCTGTTCATACTGAGGCTCAAGACTCCTGTTTAGGAAGGTCCCGTTCATACTGAGGCTCAAGACTCATGTTTAGGAAGGTCCCGTTCATACTGAGGCTCAAGACTCATGTTTAGGAAGATCCTGTTCATCCTGAGGTTCAAGACTCCTGTTTAGGAAGGTCCTGCATTGTTAATATATTTGACCCTTCCCCGTAATGAGTGAATTCACGTGAAAGAAAACGTACACCCGAGGGGGTGATGATGAAGGTGGACATGGTTGTTCTCTGAGTTATGGCCCTGGTTGAGTAGTCGCTCCCATGTGTTGTGGTTTCGACCGCGGTTGAGGGCGGTCCGGCAGCAGCAGCAGCAGCAAAAACAGGTTAATTCTTCGGTCGGATCTTCGCGAAATGTTTTGTGTAAGGATATCGCAGGCCGACCACAGTATTTTGCCACCGGCTTGCGACGCGAGTTGCGTTATTTCCTCGCTGCGCTCCTGCCGCTGCTGCGATGACGCAACTCGCGGTTTGTGACGCGACGCGGCCCCGAGGTGAATTGGCACCGATCACCGTGCCGCCCTCCGAACTTTCGTGGAGGTGGAAGGAATGCGGGGTTATCGGACTTTGCTTGCTCTACTCGCGGAATCATTAACCCTGGCGTGGAGGAATGCCTAATGATACAGACGCCCGCTTGGGGTTTTATCTCCAAGTCAACATATTCAGCGCCTTGTGTCTGGCACGACAGGGCTCATTAGCGCCTCTGATGGAATGAGCTTCTTGCCTGCACAGACGGCTAGTGCAGCACTGATATTGAACAGCCTCGTCGATCACCCTTAACCCTCAACATAACCCTCACCCTGGTATTACACGTCTGCCCTAAAACCCCACGGTCACCGGTGATCATGCTCACCACAAACTCTACTCACCCTTGCCTTCTACTCCTCACCCTAACCACTAACCCTAACCCGCATCATACCCCTACGCCTCACACCGAAATTCACTGTCACTTCTTACCCCGAACCTTAACACATAACCCTTGACCCTGCTGGCTATATTTTATTAAATACAACTCACCCCGTGTCCTTGTGCAGAGCCTGCCCCTCACCTTTACTACGAAGCCTGGCTCACATTCATCACCCTAAGTCAATGTGTCATCATATTCCTAACCATACTCCTCATCAATAACTCCACTTACCCTCTCACACTACTCACCTAACCCTCACCCCTCACCAGTGGAATTGCGTGGTTGGTGCACGGCTCCTGGAGCAAGGAATTCAATTGGGGAGGCGCTGTCCAATTTCCCCACCACTCCTCCTTATTCGTAGACCCGCGCCTGGGCCCCTCCGACCCGTGGCTCTCGGTGCAGTTGGACCGCATGCGCAGCACTCGATAGCCACGCCGCTGCCCCTCGCCCCCACAGTCCGATTCCTCATCGGAACCACCCCCCTTATGCCTCGCCGTATTCCTCACCCTCACACCCTGTCAACTCTGGTTTAATAATTAATTAGCGCACACCAATTAAGGCGACTGCACGAAGATAACGCTGTGTTTAGTGGGGCCGCACTGTCCCCGTGGGCTGCAGCGCGAAAACACCGCCAGCTCTGAAAAATGCCGCAGTATCCAATTGGATTGCGTGACTGCACGAGCGCTCTTTCTCCTCAATTAACCGTGTCACCGCCATTCCCGTTCAAGGTCGTGGTGAAGACGCCAACTTCAATGACAATTCCCTGGCCGTGCCCACAGTAACCACGCAATGATGGGCGACGTCAGCTCACTTTTGAATCTGAATTCAATGTAACCACCGATGGCCGATGACCCCGGAATGCGCCCGGCCTCATCAAAGCTCGCAAGCTAAGCGGTGCTAATCCTGGACAGCGCTTGGATGGGCGAGCACCGTGCACGCGTTGTCGCAGGGCAGCTGCGGCGCTACGTTGTGGGTAGCAGCAGAGGGTAGTGCACCCATTGTACTGTGCTGCTATATTACCAGGTCTGTGCTCACCACCTTCACCAACCAGCACTGACCAGCACGGCAAAGTATGTTCCGATGACTGCCAAGACCCGCACGGTGTGGGAAGGCCCTCATCCAGCAGTGGATTGTCGAACGGGTTGTGCGTGGGCATTAACCAGGTCTGGTGGTGAGACTGGTGGTGGGGCTCGTGATTATCATATCAATTAAATGTATGATACTTATTGGAATTCTGTAGCGTCTAAATAAATTAAGGTTATTTTTAGAATAGGTAAATTTGTGTGACCACAGAACAAAGGGGAAAAGGACATCAGGTTAAGATGGTAAAAGTTTGTGGAGGTCCTTTCATTCAGTTCATTCAGTTCATTTATTAGGTATAGCCCTGTGAGCCATGCGGCTCTTGAATCGGTTGCAACCGCAACAAACAAAAACATAAACAAATGATGGTGATACTGATAATGGAGCTGGAAATGATGATGATGATGGTGGTGGCAATGCAGATGACCGCGGTAGAAATGATAGTGCTAGCAATTGTGATTATGATGATAATGATGGCTGTGGTGGTGATGGTGACAGTGAAGGTAGTGCTGACGATGGTGATGAAGCTACCATCACGCATCAGTTACTGCCCCTGCGCTCAAGGGCGCACGCCCGCTCACAGCCGGCGCGGCGAGCTGGCGTGATTTGTGGGATCTAGACAGTTTTGTTGGCTAAGCGATCCTAGATGAAGCGGAAAGAGAACGTTAGTGAGCACCACTTGATCTCCCGGGCCAGAGCCCAAAAACAATCCTTCAGGCTGCATTGCTCAAATATCCCAACGTGGGACCCTCTTGATAAAGAGGCTTGAAACTCAATGAGGCTTGAACACGTGTCAGGCCAAGCGGGTGCAGTATATGAACACTCACGACCAGGACTGCTTCACCCACTGAATATTTTCTGGGTTGTCTGTAGATTGCAGTAGGTAGCACGTGAATAGTAGTAGCTACAGCCGTAGCGAGGAGGTATACTGGATGTGGTGTGTGGACATCTTTCCTGGTGGTTAGTGCACTATGCCGTGAACCCCGAGGACCGAATTTGATTCACGGCCACGACTAACGTCAGTCGCGAATGATAATTGAACCTGTCCCGGGTACTTCCCTTATCTACAACCCTCACTGACCACTGTGCCTAAGTGTGGGCAAAACAACCCCCATGGCCAACACAGTGTGGGGAAGCCTTCGATTAGCGGACGTTTTCAACTGGTTCATACAACCGACCGTTTGTCTGATCTCTGCCGTTGTCACGCGAACATTAATCCCCTCAGATCGGCCGCTTTTCTTATTTTCCGTGGCTGGATGAAGCCAAATTACAACGTGTGCGATGGGGGCTGCACGGGAGGTCGCGACCCCGGTGAGTCAGGCCCTGCAACACGGACGCCGATGACGCAACCGCATTTTTGTCCAGATGTGGCCACGCGTGCAGCTGAAAGCAGCGCCGGTAACCTCCTCCGCACTCTGGCAGCCTCGCATTCATCGCCGTGCCATCCCTGCAAACACTGTGGGGGACAGAGCACAGCACCGGGCGGCCTCGTCAATCCTGTCAAGTGGAATGGTTCACATACTTTTCCTTTTAAAGCGGCTCAAGGGGGTGAATGTTTGTGGACAGCGCTTTGCCAATCCACTCCAAGCAGACGGCTTCTCCACGCTACGTGGATCATGGGAGTTACTTGCGAAGATTAATTTCAGTCTGGATCTGTCAGGGTTGTTGACCCGGACATATATTTTGCAGCCCGGCACACCACATCAAGGCCGTAGCCTGGGAGTCAACATTGGGGGGGGGGGGGGGGGGGGACCAAATCTTCCAGGGGATCTGGGGGTCCCAACCCAGAAAAATATCTAAATTTGAAAACTAATTTCCTGCCATTTCCTGCCTAAAACATTTAAAAATTATCTAACACATAGGATGGACTTATTTTTTACAATAATGTCTAATAGTATATTGTATTTACACTGCTCTGTTTTTACCTTTTTTACCATTTCTTGTTTCATTGTATGTAATGTTTGAGATTAGGGATTAATAAAGTACAACCATAACCACAATCATATTCTTAGCTCTTTCGGAAAAGTCACGTTGACTTTACCGAAAGAGCTAAGAATTACCGAAAGAGCTAAGAATATGAATTACTGCAGTCACGAAAGCTTTAAATCAAAATTTAACCACAATCATATCAACAGAAATCTGTGCATTGATTTATATGAAGACAAATCCAGATATTGTGGCCAAGGTTGAGCAAATTGTTGTTTTTATTTACATAGCATAGAAATTATGATTACTTTTTATATTTTGATAGCAATATATTGGGGGAGATATTTTGAGCATATTTGAATATTTGCGGAGGATGTGTGCCCCCCCATTATATATTATAATTACGGCCTTGCACCACATCAAGTATATTCCCTCGTTCTGGTTGTGTAAAATAGTCACGTTCCACCTACTCCCGTTTAACAGCTACCCGTAGAATATTCTCAATGAAATTAAATCCTGGTTATTTGACCATGAAGGCCGCTTGTGTTGTGGCCGAAACGTCGTGAGAATATTATTGTTATTTTATTTTATCAATTTATTATTTTATTCTCATTCTACGTGACTTTACCGAAAGAACCAAATAAGATGAATCCTTGCAGTCACGAAAGCTTTAAATCGATATTGGTCATACTTCACTGAGTTGGGCGAGTGTTGGTTGAAGAAGGAAGGGAGTGTTGCTGCCCTCTGCTGCTACCCACACGGCATTTCACGCTGCTGGCCACTGCTCTCAACAGCTGTTTAACCATGGGCATCAACCCTCTGGGCTTGCTCTGTTTCTCTGCTGCACTACATCTTGGGTACACGTTCTGTGTTTGTTGGGTAAGCTTTGTGTTTGTTGGGTACACTCTGTGTTTGTGCTACACGTCCTGTTGTGTTCCCATGGATACCCTTATTTTACCTCTACTACTTCCGGGATACACTTGGTGTCGCTGTTTTACATGTTACACGCATCTCTGTGATTGGGTACACTGTGTTTTTTGTTTTATTTTTTACCTACGTGACTTTACCGAATAGAACCAAAGAGTATACACTGTGTTTATTCTTATTCTTCTTCTTGGGTACACTCTGGGAAAGCGCCGTCTCCCTGGCGATAGAGCGGGTGGAATTGTCCTGACGTCACGTCGTGGCCGTCGCCCCGGGAGACGGAGAGCCAATCGGCGCGCGCGGTATTGGCGCGGGGCCGTTGCCAGGGCAACAAGATGGCGGACGAGGACGGTAGGTGAAGCCTCGACTGCTGCTAGAGAATGGGCGAGGAGGCCTCGGCGAAGTCCGCGCCTCCGGGGCCCCGGAGCCCAGGGGCAGAGTCGGGTCCTGAGACCTCAGAGCATCAGCCTAGCCGGGTCCTGAGACCCGCGGAGAGCGCCCGAGGGCAGCGCGGCGCTCATGGGCGGTGACCCAATGATAAATCGGCGCGCGTGTTGTCAGAATAACGGGTTCAGATAGGAGTACAGGAATATAGGGGTTCATAATAACAGGGCTTTTTATACAGGAGAGTTTTGGAATATTGATTCTGGGGGAATGGTTGGACTATAAATAATAGTGGGGTCAGAATAAGAGGGATCATGGGCGTGCAATGCGACCTCGACTAAATTGCGTGCGGACCCCGGGCCGTGAAGCCGTCTCAACGGGAATTTGCGCCCCATGCAGTGGTGGGAGAAGAGGGGACCTAGAGACAGATAGAGACAAGCACTGAGACGCGTATATAGAGAGACACGAGAGTGGCAAATGCTAACACGGGACACGAAGACAGCCAGAGAGGCATTGGGACAACGCGAGATACACGGAGATGTATAGAGAAAAACGGAGACATGAGAGACGGTAACATAACTGGAAGGAATAATGATTTGGACGCTGGGCGAGGCAAAGACATGACGAAAATAAAGACACGGGTCGACAATAGAGTTGTACATAACAGCTATTTGGGTTTTTTTTTTATAAGAGGAGCGGTGTTAAACAAGACATATGTTCAAGTATATGTCAAGGTTTAAAACACAGGTATGTTCAGAACAGGTGCAGATTGTGTATACGTGGGGGTTTCGGAACGAGGTTGGGGGTTCGGAACGGTCGTGGAGTTGAGCCAACGTGAGAGCCACCACTGCCTGACGGCGGACAGGGCGTGGACAGGGCGAAGGAGCTGTTTCGACTGCGCTCCTTTGGGCTGCAGGGCATCTTGCCGAATCTGGAAATGTGCCAGATGTGAAACCTCCGTGGCAGGCAACTGCATAATTTGCAAAAGCAATAGCTTGCAGTGGAGTAGCGTACCGAGTTGACAGGGGCCCCCTTTTTAATTTCTTCCACTGATGGGCAGTCTGCACCATTCTGAACAAATAAAGATGTGTTTTCTTACCACACAAAATCACAAGTCTGTAAAATGCATTTGCTGTAAAAAAAATGCTTTATTAACGTGCTGCATGCATATTTTGTAGAAAGTGGTTTCTGTCCCTGCAGATGTGGGGATAGAAGCTAAGTCCGCTACGATGGCCAAAATATTGTATGCAATCGTCGACTTATTTTCATCCAATCATAGACCTTCCTTGGGATGATGGAATGTTTAGGGGTACCTTTTGGCGTCTTCTGGTCCAACACCAATGGAGACTAGGCTCTAAGAAAAGCTATCTCGGGTGTGGACCAATCAAATTCAAGGACAGTGCATATTATTATCAGAGTTGTCTTTTTTGTTTGCATTTTGACTGCTTGTGTTGTGGTTATTGCAAACATGATGCCTTGAATAAAGGTGTCAGTTTTTGTGCCAGTTAAAAGGGTAAAACCTATTCCTTTATGGTTAGAGTTTGGAGTTCAGGATCAGGGATTTTGGTTTGTCGTTACGGATAGTGGGTTTGTGTTTAGGATTGAGGTTCGGGTTAGGGGACAGTAGTACTAAACGCTGAATTTTTTGCCCAAAAACCTGTGGCGACAGTACTACTTAAGAGTGCTATACTTGTCCAGAACTGGGTCGCTAGTAGTCTTGGCGTTTTCGTTTTAGCAGAGTGTGAAATGGAACACCAAGACCCGCCACATGTCACGGGCGTGGCAAGTGGGTCACGGGCAGTTGTGGCCCCATGGGAAGTGCCATGCTTCAAGCCAACCCCTACAACTCAGAACTCTGTCCCTGCTCGTTGCAGAGTACATCGGGCCGAGTCGGGAGAACTACTTGCCATGCAGCGTCTGTGGGAGGACGTTTGCGCCGCAGAGCCTGGTACGTTCGCGGGTCGTGAAACATAACGAGATGAGCAACAGTGATGAGTTAATTGTAGTGGTGGTGTTCCTTAAAAACAACTGGCTCATCGTTACACCACGACATACAGGGATGTCTTCCATGTTTTACGGATTCAACCAGAAAATACTAAAATCAGGCCAAATAATGAAATGTTGGACAATATGAAAAGACATTATTACAAGGAAAAGAAAGTGACTTGATTAATGTCACTTTTGCTGTTTTCTTGCCAAGAATGGTGTCATGTGTTATTGAGTGATGTCACTTTTGTGAGCCCAAGACACATAAATAATAAAAACACATCCGAACATTTCCTTAAAAATACGAAAGTTATAAATCCAAAACATATCTCTAGCACCTCTAGTCAGCACGGATGGCTACGTATGGTGTGAAAGAAGTTCAACGTACATACTGTACATATATAGGGAATGTATGTAATTGCAAAAAATACGAGTTCTTTAATACTAAATATACAGTTTAATTTCTGAATCATCCAGAGGCCTCTAAGTCAGACCTCTGCAGAGTCCAGAACAGGGACATCAGCATTACAGCAACACGGTGTAATTGCAAGAGCCCATAGCTGTCAGTTTATTGTACTTATTTTACGTTCATGTTTAGTAAATGATGGCTGAAGTAATTTCCAAGTCAAATCTTATAGGGCAGGTGGCTTAAAATATTTATTTATTGTATCGAAACCTATGTTTTTTTAGTCGAACAATACATGATGGCTAGATTTCTAGAAGGCAGAGAAGTCTTTTCAGATGACATTCTCGTAGAAATGCCAATGAAAACACTTCGTAGTGAGTCCCATGCAGTTGTACCTTCAACCTTCATTTGTAACTTACAACGTGTGCGTGCAATGTGTGGAGGTGCCCTTGTGTTTCACGTACGCTGATAAATTCCCCGACGTGGTGTTTAGACGACTAGTGCACCGCCAGGCTTGGGAGGATGGCTCTCGTGGAGGCTGGTTCCGCTGGGGCTGAGTGTGTGCGGGTGGTTGTTGTGCAGAAAAAGCACATCAACGTCTGTCGCAAGCAAGCGACCAAGAAGCGCAAGGTGTTCGACTCGCAGAGGCAGCGCTTCGATGGGACGGAAATCTCGACGCTGAAACCCAAGCTTGCGTCTGCCAAGGTTACGACTCCCACCTTCCTGTCTCCTTGGTGACAACCACGGCCCTTTAAATCAGTGGCAGCAGAGTGCAGTGATCTTGGCATTTGTAGATGTGACCCAAGAAGGCTGAGGGAGTGGCCCATCGATCTTTGACCCCTTGAGAGCAATAGCTTACTAAGATTTAAGATGTACAGATTTGTGAGACGAAAAAGAGATAAACAAGCTATATAAATGAGAGAGCTGAGAAAATAAATAAAGATGACTGAGATAAAACCGAGATACAAAACTGAAGACAAGATGCATGGACTAAACGCCACGTGCACAGATGTTATGATATCCCGGGGTAATGTGACGCCGTAATGTCTACACGTGTTGTGACGTCACATGGCCCAGATGCACAAACTTTTTATTATGTGGCCCACCAGAAAATGCAATTTAAGAACCCTGCCTTGAGAAATGGCCTTAAATGTCAGTTACGGTTTGCAGCTGTGGCGGTCAGCATTGTGTCCTCTCTGCAGCAGTCACAGCCGCTGCCGCAGAAGAAGTCCAACTGGAGGCAAAAGCACGAGGAATTTGTCAAAACGATCCGCGCGGCTAAAGGAGTGACTCAGGCACTCAAGGAAGGGGGGCCCCTGCCTCCTCCACCTCCGCCGTCCTTAAACCCTGGTAAAGAAAATAAATGATCCATCACTTGCAACACTTGACACCGTTTTGTACGGCACCGTCATTAGTGCCCACCCTTTGGTCACCCTCATGCTGGTGTTGTTGTGCGTGCGGCCCCGCTCAGACTACGTGCAGTGCCCGTGCTGCCAGCGGAGGTTCAACGAAGGCGCAGCTGAGCGCCACATCACGTTCTGCAAGGAGCAGGCGGCGCGCATCGGCCGGAGCGGCCCCTCCCAGCAAGCATCATCCCGCCTAGCGGTCCGCATACAGGTGCCTCCTCCTGCTTCTCCTGCGCCTCCTCAGTCTTCTGTGCCACCACCCAGTCCCACCAGTGTGGAAGCAGTGGTGGGACACTTGCGTGTGAGATTTAATCATTTGTCTCTCTCTTTCTACGGTACAATGTAAGGCAGAGTGAGGATATACAGGGAACAGAGGGAACGTGCTGCCAGGCTGTTTTGTTTGTGACAAGAAGCACTGCGTGCTTGCTCTTTTTTCTTGCGGTTCTAGTACCGGGCACCGTCGGTCAAGAAAAAGGACGGGGCGACCTCTCAAATGCCGGCGCTGCTGCCCAGCCGCTCCCACATGGCAGGGACCTCCATGCGCTCTGCTGGTGACTCTCACCACCTCCCATAGTGAACAGTCCTTGTCTTTATCCATAATTTTATCCCAGTCCTGCTGTCATGTAATGAAGTATTCATATCAGAGAACGGCATTCGGAAGCTGACATCACAGAGCTTTCATAGGCAAACCCCAGAAGTAAACACTGCGGTTAAATGAAATAATCAGTAGTCTTTGAATTTTGTAAGTTTTGAGTGTGTGTGTGGATTCGCCACTGATTTTGTTGTGCAGGTGCCGGTGCAACCAGTGCCCTGGCATCCCGGCTACGCGAGGCCTCCCCAGCGCGGGAGGCGAGGACGGGCGTCGGCAAGGCCAGCAGCAGCACACCGTCACGGAGAGGGTGAGCACGGCACCTCGCACCGGCTCAGTGGAACACATTCACAAATGGTTCTATAGCAAATGCAACAGCTACACAAGCCATCGTCATTATCAGCCAACATCCATCCACTGCTGGATGAAGGTCACCCCAAGCCACTACCATCTCTCATGGTCCTGCGATGGAGCAATCTATTTAGCATCCCATACACGAGTTGATCTTATCTCTCCATTTCCATGGTGGACGTCTTCTGTGGTGTTTCCGCCTTTGACTGCGACTCCATTAGTCTAGACCACTGGCTATCACCCCTTCTAGTAACGTGTCCTGCCCAAGCCCACTTTTATTGATGGTCACAATTCCGTCTCATTGTAAGTTACAAAACCATGTGTTCCTCTTTCCGTATCTCAATGTCATTTCAAGCGTGCAATTCATACAATGTGTAAAGAAAAATGAATTTCAAGCTGTATTCAGACAATCAGCTTGTGCCGAGTCCAATCGATTTCCTTCATGTTTCCATGTGCTGTGTAATCCCCGTGGCTCCTTGTGCTCCTTACATGTGACCCATTGACTTGCGGTTCTCAGGTCGACCTACAGCCGAGAAGTGGAGTTTGATGGGCCCCCGCTGAGGACAGGACGCTCAGCGGGCAGACGCGTGGCCAGCGAGCTCACGCCCATCCAGCGGTAATGTCCATGTGTGCGATCCGGCTCTACCTCGTGTGTGTGTACGTATGTAACACAAGCAGACAGTCATGTGCGACTCTCTGCCATTTCAGCATACAATTAGTAGATATTCCGGCATACCATGAATTCTGGCAGCCACGTGGTACATCCGTGTGTCGCATAGGACGCTGGCTCGCAGCCCCACGTCGCCCTCTGGGTATAAGAGCATGGGAAGCAGCGCTCCCAGGAGGACCGGCCCCACACAGGCCGCATTGAACGAGCGCAATGACGGGTGAGTGAATCACAGCCATGCAGCATCAACAATGAGCTGTGTTGCAGCCAGGGTCACTACGGTTTCCCTCCCCATTATCCCAATGCTCAACCGAAGCTGCTTTGTTCTCAGTTGGGGTTTTGCACGTGAACACTGACACTGTAAAATGTCCCAGTTTGGCTGGGACATTCCTGGTTTTAAGGTTGTTTGAGTATCCCAGGATTTTCCCCTAATTTAAAATGTTCTGGCTTCATGCTCAACTCACGATGTGGGCAATAGGTGGGGTTACCTGAGCAGTGGGCAGGATTGGGAGAGGAGTGGGAGGGGCCTATGATCAGTAGGCATAGTCAGTGTAATAAAGAATGAGACCACTGCCTGTGTGGGCACGGATAGTGGTTGACTGGAAGTGGATATGTAAAAGTGGGCGGGACTGATGGAGGGGCTGCCTGCCCACTGTCTCCGGGGAGCCTCAAAGAAAACCAGTAGCTTTTGCAAGGTGGGTGCGGTACTGGGTGGGGTGATGTTCGTGCCACGTTGACGTCGTGGTTGTGGTTGCGCCAGCATTAGCGGTGCCCGGCGGGACCCGTGGGAGCACTCGAACGGAGACGAGACAGCGCACGCCAGGACACCCCCCGGGCCCTCCAGTCGGCGCCCCCTGCCGCGCTTCTGCCATGAGTGCGGCACGCGCCACCCCGTCGACTGGGCCAAGTTCTGCTGCGAGTGCGGGGCACGCAGGGTGGCCGCTTAGCCCTGCGTGGCCCTGCGCAGTGCTGAACTCGCACCTTCTAGCCGGTGCTGGCCGCGGCGCAACGCAGCTCCAAACAAAGTGTAGCGCCAACACAAAGCAACCGCACTTGCCGTGACGCCACCCAGGCGAGTTAGAGCCACGATGAAGTAGCTTAGTGGTGAGTGACTCTGTAGATGGGAGGCGAAGGGGAAGGCTTATTATTATGATATTTTTTTAACGCTTGTTTACCCAGGACAGCCTCACTGAGTCTCAACTCTTTTTCAGGAGGGTTCTGCCAAGTTTACGCATTTGGGGATGATGTTGCTATGTGTGATCCCATTTGAGTAATTTAGGTAATTGGGATGTTTGGCCAATACCCGTTACATTGAATGTTTTCAGTTTATGAGGAAACCGGCAAACCCTGTGGAAACCCATGCAGAACAGGTGGAGAACATTCAAACTACACAGAAAGGCGTCCGAGTCAGATATTCAACTGTGGCCCTTATCTCTGTGAGGGACGAGTGTTTACACTGCGCCACCCGAAAACCGAAATGGGACGTTTTGTGCTGCTACTCACTTTTGAGTCACAGAAGTGAGGGGCGTTTATTTTACCGAAGCAATAGCGAGCTGACTTAGAAAAGCGGTGAATGAGCCGTATTATTTAAATACATCGACTCATGTTCGCGAGACTCTCATTCTAAATGTATTAATGAATAAACAAGCTGGAAACGCAGTTGACTGGGCACTGCGCTTGCTTGTTCTGCAGATTTGGCTGCTGGATTCAGCTGTGTGGCGAGAGCCCTGGCTTCCGTGCCACCCGCGACTGTAGAAGTAACGGCGCCAACACCACTAAGCCATCACATTGCGTTAATGAGCGTCGCATGCACCGCGCCAGCCACGCAGGGGGCCTCGATGCGCAGCCTTGACGGCTTCACGCCCGCAGTGTCGCATTTGCGATGTAGCACACAGGCATCACAAGGGCTTAGTTTCTCACGGAATATTTTTTTTTGGTCACTGGTGTGTGGCTTTTAAGTAGTAGCCATAGTAAGAGATATAATAGATGTGGTGTGCCAGGTGCAGGAATATTTTCCAGATCACTGACCAGAACAGACCCAGGTGAAATGATTCCCCAGGCATCAGCAATAGCAATGTTCGTAAGAGATGGGGGTTTTTTCCCCACGAATCAGGGTTGTGTTTTGTACCAGAAGTTTGAGTTTGTGTGGCATCAGGCTTGTGTAATAGTCCCGTCTTTAAACTGTGCACTTTATCCACCGATTGATGTAATCTTTGCACTGAGGTGGAAGGTGTTTAATTAGAAAGGTTCTGATCATAGCTGGTGGGGTGGCAGGAGGGGGGCTATCACATCCCGCTTGGCATACTTGCGGGGGGTGTAAACAAGAGACTTTAACCCCCCACACTAAAAATTATTTTGAACGGAGGCGTGAAATTAAAAAAAAATTCTTTATCCTGGAAGATACAGTAAGATAAAGATGAAGTAAAAAGTATTAATAAATCAGAGTACAATTAACATGTATTGTTGATTGCTCAAGCAAAAAAACATCACTCAGTGGAGACGCTGTGTCGTCTTGAGATGCAGTTGCGGTTGGGTGCCATGTAAAACCAATTTTTATTATTTTACACTAAAGCCAGTGGTTCTTAACTTTTATTCCAGCCTTGCAATCATTAAATAATTTATAACGTTAATACATAGGTTTAATGAAACAAAGTAGTTGTACTTACGTGCCCGTGCTTAATTTGTGTTTCGATGATTTACCTTCTAAAAAAATCGGCATGTCTCGCACTCCCAGAAAGGGCATCTCGCACCTCCAGAGGGTGCATGCACCCCAGGTTGAGAGCCACTGCACTAAGCTATTGTCCTGCTTTTTTGCTATTTGACATTACCGACAAGAGCAGCATTTCCTCAGGTCAGCCATGGACTCCCCCCCCCACCCCCATTTAACCTTGTTCCCTCTCCCCCCCACCAGAGTCACATAGCCTCTTCACGTGTGGTGCCACCCATGGTTCTGATGGATGTAAATAACTCACCTTCATCGATATCCGTGTACGTCGCCGCTGAACGCTCGTGGTGCCGTGCTGTCCTCGAGCACACGTCCTTCCTCATGTCAGCATGGCATAGGGGGAAGTGCTGCCCTTGCCAGTGACTAGTAGCGCTCTGAGCCAGAGCTGTGATGATGAGAGCTGCCATCATTGTCAGTTGTCCTGTATATCTCTGAACTAAATTCCTTAAGATGCTTCCAGCACATGGAGCGAAACTCCGGACAGTATCGTGCTGAGCACGCAGTACAACCCAAGGTGGCCGCAAGTGCTCGATTGCCGGTGCTGTAACCCGTAGCTGCAGGTGCTTTTGCAAGGGAATGATGGCCCAGCCATCATTGCGGCATTCTCTACTGGACCTGGAAACTCGGTTCCGTATTAACCTCTGATGCATTAGCCAGCTTAAATCAAGTATTGCAATAACTGAATCTTGAACACTAATTATGCAAATATACTTAACCTACCATGCAGACATGCACGCTGTACACAAGGCTTCGGCCAGTGACGCGTCCAAGCCAGACATTGCAGAGAGGACAAATCAATTTGCTACTGGGGAGCGGTAGTGTCACGGTTAGCTCGCTGTGCTACGAATCCGGTGACCCTAGTTTTATTCCCGCTCACGGCCAACCAGTGACGATCTGAACCGGTCCTGAGCCTCCCCTAGGTCGACTCCGCTTCAAATGAGTACCTGGTGTGATGTGTATACATCACCAGGGAGACAAAGGCGGCCAGGCGTGGTTCTGGCCACCCACCCCCTCGTGTGTCGTGCCTGCCTTCATAGGTGCTTGCTAATGGCACTTGCCACAACAGATTGTTAAGGCTATTCAGGGGATCTTTATATTCGTCTGCGTGTACAAGTACACATATAATAGATTACATAAATGTGCACATATATACGTGCACATATGCTAAATTTAACATATGCACACATGCTAAAGTTAACACATGCACACAATGGCGGAGCTAGAATTTTCAGGTAGGGGGGGCTACCCCTCAAGCAATGAAAAATGATAGGAGTTGTTAGCAAGGACTTGTCCCTAGACGCGTGTGCGGCGATGGTACAGCCATCGATCGAGGGTCGAATTTGAACCGTGTGATCGGCATCGCGGTCGCTGAAGGTGTTGCCTTCAGGGAAGTCGTGTACTGTATACGCAACTGCGCACAATTCTGAGTCGCTTATAACTGCTTTGCCGTTACATATTGCCAATTATGGACTCAGACTATTGTCCTATTATCTCATAGAGTCCCTGGCACATAATAATATGCTACACAGTGGCAGTGAGGGTCGCAAAATGCCGATTTATTACTAATTGGGGAGGCACGTGCCACCCCCCCCCCCCCCCCACTGGCTCCGCCAGTGCATGCACACATACTGCAATATATACACATTACACTGTATGAATAGTATTTTGAATACACAGTCACACATACAACTTTCAGGAAGGAAGCAACCAATGGGTCTGTCTCTGTATGTATGCGTGCATGTCTGTGGACATGCGTGCGCATGTTCCGGGAATGCCCTATGCCTATGTGGGTTGGAGGAAGCTGCCTCCCAAGTGGAACTGAGACTCCGTGTGTGAAGGAGTTGGCAGGGAGCGCCTGTGGGAACTTGATACCCTCAGTGATTAAACAGCAGCTGTAAATGCACAACTGTGTCCCATCTCGTTTTTGCAGCACTGAACGCAGCTGTATTTCCCGCATCCATGAAGGGGATCAAAGTTGTCTAAAGGCTCTGGCGCCTCTTGGATTTGCGATATCAGAGCTGTTGTGTGGGTCATGACAACAGTGATCTACCGTTTACAAGATTGAATTTTTGGTAGCCCACAGGGATATATGGTGTGGTCGGGCCCATCCAAGGCTTGCCCAAGCATTCCTCAAGCACCGGCCATGGTTTTCTGAGTAACCCAAATGGGCATTATCTATGGAGATCAGGATTGACACGACTTTAATAACCTGAGAGCAATGCATGTATTTATTATGAACAGCCAATAGTCACCCACAAGAGACCCTGTCTGTACAGGGTGACGAGTTTTCCACTGTCATAGACTCGGCCTGTTTTTAAGGCCCCATTCTCACTGCACCGCCACCTCCCTCTGCCATTCCCCTTGACTCGTAGCACACACTGATCCACAGCACACAACTTAAATTATAAATTAAAATAAGATGTTTATACCAGTGTATACCAATTAATAACTAATGTTCTATCTTCTTTGGTTCTTTCGGTAAAGTCACGTAGAATGAGAATAAAATAATAAATTGATAAAATAAAATAACACAATAATATTCTCACGACGTTTCGGCCACAACACAAGCGGCCTTCATCAGGTGAAGGGACGAGACTGTCTGGTAGGACAGCGCTGGAGTGAAAGAGCCACGTTCAGATCACGACCTTTAAGCTGTGTGAGAGGAAACAAAGCGCCTTGACAAAGGAATTAGCATATAATTTAGCATTGAAATGGCTGAGTGATTAGCTTGTGACTGGTCACAGAAATAGCTATGTTAAAAGTTAAAGCATACACATCCCTTGACAAAGGGGTGCCTCTGCGGATGTGTATGCTTTAACTTTTAACATAGCTATTTCTGTGACCAGTCACAAGCTAATCACTCAGCCATTTCAATGCTAAATTATATGCTAATTCCTTTGTCAAGGCGCTTTGTTTCCTCTCGCACAGCTTAAAGGTCGTGATCTGAACGTGGCTCTTTCACTCCAGCGCTGTCCTACCAGACAGTCTCGTCCCTTCACCTGATGAAGGCCGCTTGTGTTGTGGCCGAAACGTCGTGAGAATATTATTGTTATTTTATTTTATCAATTTATTATTTTATTCTCATTCTACGTGACTATACCGAAAGAACCAAAGAAGATGAATCATTGCAGTCACGAAAGCTTTAAATCGAAATTTAATGTTCTATCGTGGAACCTTTTTTTCAGTATCAAAGTATGAAAAAAAATAGAGTTTACCTTTACGGCAATAAAACAGGTGTTAAGATGTTCAAAACGAAATACTGTAGATACCTTTTGCAAGGAATCGAAGTTTGCATTAACCACATGTACTTGTAGTAAACATGCAAAATAACATGCTCTGATAATTATATATGATAAAAAGGTCCCATGATTTAGCTGCTCACCCCAAACTATACTCTGATACGTGCATTGTTTTTATACTGTTCGCCTTTTGGCGTTCTCTGGTCTGACAATGGTGAGACGAGGCCATAAAGAAGGCTGTCTTTGGTGTAGCCCAATCAGTTTCAACGACTGCATATATCAGAGCATGTTTGTTTGCATGTTCACTACAAGTACGTGTGGTTAATGCAGACTTGATTCCTTGCAAAAGGTTTCTATTTGGTGTTTGAACATCGTAACACCTGTTTTATTGCCAGAAAAAGTAAAGCATATTCTTAATTCATGTTCTACAAAAACATAGCTTTTGTAAAAGTCCAAAGCCACACCTGTGAGATCCATTATAAAATATATTTTCTTTAAGTAGCTCTGATTACAAATTATCACACTACTGAATTTCTAGAAAATAAAATACAAGAGATGTGACCATTCCCTGATCCATGAAGCATCTCCTGTCAGCATGCACGACTACCACAGTGATCGTGGAGGTGAGATCTGGGTTAACCTCATCCTGACTCGACAGGTAAAAGTCCTCAAGTATTGAGAGCACTGAAGGAGTGGCTGCCTCTAAATTGCTGCTTAAATTTTAATCGACGTGCTTTCAGTCTGTCAGTGATGAGGCGCACCGCTACATCCAACTTGCATCCGACAAAGAAGTCATAGCAAATTTGCCATGCGTCAGATGAACCTTATGGCGGGACCCCGGGGTCCCGAATAAACGGAAGTCAAAATCGTAATTTTTTTTGGTGACTCAGTCCCACCACGCACATAAATGCCGCGACCCACCTGGCGCGGATCATTCTGTTGTCATGTCGTCCAAGCGCAGCGAGAACGAATGCCGTAATTATAAACAAAACTTTGATTAGCGCATCGTGTAGAGCTCGTCGAGAGGAATATATTGCCGCATCGTTAACTTTCAACAGACATAAAATGACGTCGCAACGCAGTTTATGCGAGAGCCGGGGGCTTATGGGACCCTGGGGGCTTATGGGATCCTGGGGTCCCGCCATAAGGTTCAGATGTCGATGATGACAAACACATCGTTTTTATTCTCCTCCTCGTGGATCTGCATAGCTGAGTAGGTGATGGCCTTCACCTCCGTGCCCTGCACCGCAAACGGCACCGCACACGGCATCAACAAACATGGCCGTCTCTACACCCAGCCCGGCCACCGCATTCTGTTATTTCATCACATTCATAAATGGTACCAAAGTAAAGTCACGTAGAATGAGACAGCGCTGTCCTACCAGACAGTCTCGTCCCTTCACCTGATGAAGGCCGCTTGTGTTGTGGCCGAAACGTCGTGAGAATATTATTGTGTTATTTTATTTTATCAATTTATTATTTTATTCTCATTCTACGTGACTTCACCGAAAGAACCAAAGAAGATGAATCATTGCAGTCACGAAAGCTTTAAATCGAAATTTGGTACCAAAGTAATTGGTATACGACATAGTTAATTGGTGATTTGTATATTATTTCTTCATAAATGTGTATTTTACACATTTCTGCCCGTGTCACCATGTGTTTTTGTAGGTGCTTATGAGTGGTGAGGGGACAATGATCTCCTCACCTGTGGATGCTTCTCAAGGTTGAACTCCTCTCCCCAGCTGCAGGTTCCATAAAGGGAACAAGAGACAGGGGAGAAATCAGATGCACGGACAAGTTAACACCACAAAGGAGAGAGCATCAAATGTTCACATACCAAAGTGACAACTATATCTGGACATCTGTGAAAAAGAGCTTTTTAATGCTCATCAGAATCCTCCAGTATAAATAAATATTCTGATTCTGATCCCTTTGGTGGTGCTTTTTACCTTGGAAAATGTGTGGAAGGGTTACCAACAGTGATATATTTATTTGTGCTCAAAGTTGCACGAATAATGAAATGTGCAGAGGTAACGTACTTACCCAATTGAGCGGATTTTGAAATTTACTCTGTCCAGACTCACGACTTTCACCTCCTGAAGAGACAACCCAAGTCAATATAAGTTGCAATGTAAACTCTGGGTTTTACTGCAGTGAATGTAAACGAGTGTGCACATCGATGTCTGAGTGTAGCAGCTGCAGGGCTGACTGCCTCTACCCTTGGGATGAAGAATATCTCGGCGCAGAACTTGTAGAGCCACGCATCCATGAACTGGTAGAGCAGAGACATCATGTCCTCACCTGTGGAGAGATGCACGTCGCCAAGGGCTATAAAATCTACCACCTACGATGGAACCACAGCCGGAGGAAAACACCAAAAAACCTCCATTATGGAGGTAAAACGTAGATTTTTGCAGTTGTGCTTCATAGCTCTCGGGTGTGTTTTTGGACTGTTCTTTGTGTTGTTTTGCACGACCTCTGACGTTTTCGTCTATGTGCTGGTAGATTTTTCAGGAAGTAAATTTAAGTGGAGTCAAAAGATAATGCCTCTGCTTACGATAGAGTTTTACCTGAAATACGTCTTCCAAATTAAGATGGACATTATTATCTTGTGTGTGTGTCCTACGTGTACATCTAGCATGGCACAAGCACCGCGGAGACGTCAATACCACTTGGTGAATGGCATCTGTTTTAGTCCCTTGTGAAGTAAAGAGCTGCAAGTGCTGAATTCAGTTCCTGAAGAAGCTCCCAGCACGTGGAGAAAAACGTTGGACATCTTTTCAAACAGTATGCGGAACAACCCGAAAATGCATCGCAGAGACAAATGCAAAACTCCATCGTGGACAATGACATCACCTTCAGCCTCCACCTCCACCGTGTCCAGGGGCTCCACCACCTCGATGTCGCTGATGTAGCCAAACATGGCCATGACAACTTGCTCAAACGACTCTTCCAGCGTGTCACCCCACGCGTGCAACCTGCACACCGCACAATGCTCAGGGCACACACCACAAAGCGCCATCAATGTGAGAGACGCGGCCCTCCAGGGCATACTGACCCTACCCAGTTCTTGCAAGGCTAGGAACATACTGAGAAGCGAAGCCGTGGAGATGCAAGTACTCACTGCACGTCTGCTGTGTGGTCCAGGTCTGTGGAGCAGAAGGGAGAGCTGCATTAGTAGCACGGCAAAGCACGCGGGCATCGTAACGTATAACACGAGCGCAAGACAAATGCCACACTATATAAAAGTCAAAAATTGTGTGTGGGTGTGTGTGTTCGCGTGCTTGCGAAGGATTTGGCTCTCCAACGGTGGGGTTTACACAAAATAAAAATATCCAGGTACCACGCCGTAAGCCCCGACGTGAGCAAGCGCTATTCCTTTTTCACATCCGTCAAGTTTAAATTAGTTAAATGAGCAATTTAGTGCGATTTTTGTGTGTTATTTATTTATTTATGACGCGTGCACGCCCATACCAACTCATGCACTTTTGGTGGGGGGGACGGCCCATGCCAAGTCGCACTCCTTCGGTGGGAGTGAGGGGACAATTTTCTTTCGCGTTAAAAATGCTAAAAAAATAAACTAAACGCTGAGGTAAATTCTTCACTGTGTGATGTCCTCCCCACCCCGATGTGTGCAGTTACTACTATACAGTCGGTAGATGCTACCACTATAGGCCGTAGATATTACTGCAGAGCGGCCGGGGAGATCGTGGCTGTTGGGGGGGGGGTCAGGGGTAGCAGCTCAGTCCCAGCCTGCCAAGGTGCCACCTCGGTCGGCTGGACAATCTAGGCGAGGCCGGAGGCTCTGCACGGGACTAGGCCTCACCACGCCACTCTGTCAGGTGAGTACTTTGTGCTAGAGTCAGCATATACTATAGTAATAGCAGGTACCACCACAGTCGGTATGCACTGCTCTAATCATACCAGGTACCACCACAGTATGCACTGCTGCAGTGAAAGCAGGTACCACCACAGTATGCACTGCTGTAATCATAGCAGGTGCCACCACAGTACGTACTGCTGTAAAATTTTAAAGAGTAGTTTTGAAATATTTTTTTGGCCCGGGCAACGTCGGGTCCTTCCCGCTAGTGTAAAAATAAAACTACGATTTAAAAAATCTCACTCTTTACAAACGTTTATAACTGGTAGAGCTTACAGATATTCACACAATTTTTTTTAAAGACGTACAATCAGGTGTCAGCAGAAGACAGTGCAGTAAAATCCATTGAACTAGCATTCTATGTTGATTTGAATCCGTATATATTTTATACCTACGTGACTTTACCGAAAGAACTTGGGACGTATTCGCTCGCTGTCGTAGAAAGAGAACGACTCAAGCGCGAGGGACCACAGACAAGCGGGAAGGCAGCAGCGAGGCGATAACACAGCGCCAACAATTGCCCAAGCTATGCCGTCCTATATATGAATATCTTTTAAGCCAATCAATGAGTTCAGTATATATGTGGGGGGCGGGGGAGCGCCTAGATAAAGCGCACGCGTGCGAGGGGGAAACCTTCCCATACACACGGCGCAGGTGGAGTCCACATCTGTTTGGTGTACTGCCATCTCCTGACGAGCCAAGGTGTGGCACCTCGATGCCCACAAGAAGTGAGTTTACAAGATGTGCGATGATCCACCAATCACCACTACCTCCACAGTGCTGGATTACAGGGGTGCGCCACAGCCGCCTTCACCAACCCCCACTGATAAAGAGTGGTGAAGTATAGTCAAATAACCTCCTCCACCTACACATCATGAAGAGGCCCTCATCCGGCAATGAATTAACAAGTCACCTATACAAAAGATGAAGAATTCACAAACCAATGGACACTCCCTGTCGCTTGATGGCGGTCGTGATGATGATGTTAATGAGTCGTGGTGGTGATGCTATTGATGGTGTATTAGTGTCCGCCGCTCACACTCGTGTTTCTTGATCACGACAGGATACTTGGCTTTGATCGCCTTCTGCTCCTCGCTCATGTCGTAGTGCCGGGAGTCCATCGCTCCGCGCACCGGGAGTCCCACTCGTGTGGGGGGGGGGGGGGTCCGAGGGGGTCCGAGGGGGTCCCAGAGGATCGTTGGGGATCTGTCCGGAAGCGTGTCCAGGGCGCGGCGTGAGAGGAGCTGCCCACGACGTCAGAGCGAGTGCAGCAGCCGGCGTCAGGGCGATAGGGGGCGGTACACAGGGCGTGTGGAACCCGTGTGTGTGTGTGATGTGTGTACACCGTGTGTGTGTGTGATGTGTGTACACCGTGTGTGTGTGTGATGTGTGTACACCGTGTGTGTGTGATGTGTGTACACCGTGTGTGTGTGATGTGTGTACACCGTGTGTGTGATACGTGGTGCTGGCCACCAACTCTCTCACGTGCCGTGCCGTGCCGGCCTTCATAGGTCCTCGCTAACAGCACTTGGCCCCCAACAATCGTGTCATGCGAGACGGGTGATCTTTATGTGTGTACACGTGTGTACACGTCTTGTCTCATGACGCCTGTAACAAGTATCGTCTCTGTGGAATGCACATCTATCTCCCGGATCTCTCTCTGAGCAGGGCGAGTGGGTGCTGCTGCGTGTCCCCACGTTCACAAATCTTCTCCCGACGGGGACATCTTGGGGAGGCCATCCAGCAGTGGATTTATTAAGGCTGATTATAAGCTCTCAGTGTGTGTCTCTCTATGCGTTTCCGCGGCTCTGTCTCCGTCTCTCTTCGTTCAACGGAAGCTGCAGGTGCTGGCAGCTGTAGCTGTTGCTGCCCGCCGTGTGTTTCTCACGTGCGGCCTCAAACGAATCAGTGTTCCCGTCGTGACGTCACCCAGCGCATGACGCCATCGTGCAAGGCCGCACCTCTCAGGGGTCTCTTGGTGACGTCATCACGCACGCGACGGCACCACCCTTGTGACATCATCACGCAGGCCCTCCGCTCATCTCCCCCTCCCCTTCCGCCCCCCACCCCGAGGAGTCACGTGAGCGGAGTCAAGGGTCACGCGGCGCGGGGCACTTTGGGAAGAGGACGAGGCGGCATCATGGCGACCGCAAGCGGTGTGAGCGGCGGGCTACGCAAGAAGAAGCACTTCCTGGGCATGCCAGCGCCCCTGGGATACGTGCCCGGTCTGGGTCGAGGGTGAGGCGTTCGGGGGGGCTGGGGTGAGGGGCTGGATCGGGTAGGGTGGCGAAATGTTAACTACCTCGCATGGTATACAGGAGGTCGTGGGTTCGATCCTGACGCCTGCTGCTGTATATTTAGAGTTTGCGTGTCTCTCTCCCCGTGACCGCGTGGATTTTTATCCGGGTCCTCCGGTGGTTTCTTTCAACATTTAGAAACATGCGTTTGGAGTATTTGCCTGCAATAAATGTCCACATGATAAGCAACTAAGTTGCGCTATTTGTGGCCAGGTCGCTTCGGAAAAATAGCTATATATCTCAGTCGGCCTTACCTGGTCAAGTAAAAAAATACTTTTAGTGTGTGAGGGGAGGGGTTGAGTGGTCACAGTGTGGGTATGTGGGCAGATCGAGTGTTTGCTGCATAGGTACGGGTGTCTGGTGTGAGTGAGCCGAGGTGAATTTATGGTAGGGGTGTGTTGGTTTGGGCGAGTAGGAAGATTGCGAGCTAGAGTTGGTTGAGTGGGTAGAATATACGTAGGTATGCGTGTTTGGGTAGGGGTGAGTGACGAGATAGAAGTCGGGTGGATGGGCGAGTGAATTCGTGCATGGGTGGTTGATTGCTCAGTGAATGAGTGAATCCGTGAATGGTGCATTTGTGCATGGTGATCGGGTGAAAGTTGGAGAGAATTGGTGAGCGTGTGATTCGTTAAATACATGGGTGGATATGTGACTGGGTGAGGTGGGTGTGCAGGTTAGTGTTTTAATGGGTAATTACTTTAGTGTACCGTGGATGTTTTGATGACCGCCCCATATTTTCTCCATTCCCGGCCACCTCCAGTGCCACGGGCTTTACGACGCGGTCCGACATCGGTCCGGCTCGCGATGCCAATGACCCCGTGGACGACCGGCACGCGCCGCCCGGCAAACGCACCGTCGGTGACCAGATGAAGAAGAGCCAGGAGGACGAGGAGGAGGATCTCAATGACTCCAACTATGACGAGGTGACCACTACTGAGATGTACCTATCTACCCACTACGCATAGCGCTCGTCAGTTAATAGAACCGAAAACTGAGTGCTGTTCTGTACACTCAAATAGGCACATGCAATCCTACATTGATGTTGTTTCATACATGCACACGATCATTTTAGCCCTTTGTCAACCCACTACTGCATGAAGACCTCATGACACTGTGCTTGGTATGGATAAAGTTTTTCTATACTTCATGCCACTCGATGCGGGTTAGTGATGGGGATGCCCAGGACCAGTTTAGATATAATTAACCACTGCTTTTAGCCCTAGTCGAGTCTCAAACTTAGATAACTTTGCCGTGGCTGCATGATAATATTTCTGAGTGATGCTGGGCACACCACAAGTGCCTCGCCACTTACACAACCATACCTGAATGCTCACATACCCTCGCCTCATCACGCTCACCCCCATGTTTCACCCGCGCTTCTCGTCCGCAGTTCAACGGCTACGCTGGGAGCCTATTCTCGAGCGGTCCCTACGAGAAGGACGATGAGGAGGCAGATGCCATCTATTGTATGGTGGACAAGCGCCTGGATGAGCGGAGGAAGGACCGCCGGTGAGTGGTGCCGGAGAGCCGAGCCCCCAGGCTTCCCACGGGGTTGTCATGGTTTGGCAATGCTACAATTTATTGTACGAAGTCCATGGTCATCGCATTGTCCGAAACATTTTTTTTCAATTATCGTTGCGTGTTTACATTTTTTTACGTGTTTAATTTCCTGGCAATATATTTATGAAGTAGTATAAACAGCTATTAAAGTTGTAATAAATAGCTGTTATGCGTTACATTTGGGCTTTCCGAAACGTTTTTAGGTGTGTTGATGGCACGGTGGATATATAGCACTGGTGTTTCATTGTTTATTTCTTGTTTAACTGACTTGGTCATTGTAGGTGTTGGTGTGTCAGTTTTCTGTCCGTCTGCTACAGCAGAGATGCATGGAAATCCAACAAGACTTACATCTCTGCTTTATTGACCTGGTCAAGGCCTATGATACCATTAGTAGCCCTGGGCTCTGGGTAGTTCTTCGTGCTTTCGGAGTCCCTTACGCTCTGCTCATGATCATTAAAGACCATGATGGTGAGCGGGCCCGGGTAAAACTACGTGGCCAGGAGTCGGAGCCATTCCCTGTACACCTTGGGGTGCGACAGGGATGTCCTCTGGCTCCCACATTATTTAACATCTATTTCGACCACGTAGCTCGCGAAGCCGTCAATAGCTGTCCCGGAGGAATTTCCATCTGGTACAGATACAATGGGAGGCTGATCGATGCCCGGGTGCGGTCAAGGGATGGCTCCCTATTGCTCAACCATGTAATTTTATGGCAGGCAAGGCTGCGTTGGCTGGTCCATGTAGCTCGCATGCCCAGCTACCGCATGCCTAAACAGCTTTTGTTTGGCCGGATCGAGGGGGCGAAACGGGCGTGGCATGGGCTAGAGAAGAGATGGAGTGATGTGGGTCAGGAGGTTGTGGAGCTGAGTGGACTTGCCAGTGACTGGTACCAGTGGTGTCATGATCGGCCTCTGTGGAGGAGGCTCGTGAAGGACGCTACTGGGCAGTTGGAGGCAGTCGCCCTCCAACAACAACAGAGGGCGGAGAAGCGACGCTCACAACAATGAGCGGAACGCCGGATGGCTAAAGCACAGCAAGTTGGCACAGTAGGGGGCACAGGTGGTGCATCAGCCAGTCATCTCCGTCATCTCAGTCGACCCGTGGCACCTGGGTCTGCCCCGTGACGTGCCAGCGGGCGTTTGACACTTCACGTGGCCTCAAGGTGCACATAGCCTGGCACAAGCGTCGTGACATCACCGCCACTTAGTGGCGAATGGCGGTTGTTGTTGTTGGGGCTGCAAACTGTAAGGGCTGAGCGCTGTGTTACAGAGAGCAGCGAGAGCGGGAGGAGATTGAAAAATACCGTATGGAGCGACCCAAGATCCAGCAGCAGTTCTCTGATCTAAAGGTTCGTCCTCGCCACTGATGTTGTCCTGAAACATGGTGGGTTATGTTTGTGTGAGAACGAGAGAGAATGTTATCGAAAGCTTATGGAACTAATGGGTCAGAAACACACAAGATGGCTTATAGATAACAAACCATATGGAGAAGACAAACAGTAGAAACAGGATAGGCAGCACAAACACGTTACAAATGAGATCTTACGATACAGACAAAACAGTACAAGCAAAACAAAGAAGAACCAATTTTAGAACTGAATCGTGACACTTTATCGAATCTTGAGAATGAAGGAAGTGAGTCATCGCATGCCATAGGGACCACGTACATTTCGTCACTGGGTTGTGTTGATTGCTGTGTGTGCGCACCACAGCGCAAACTGGCGGAGGTGTCCGAGGACGAGTGGCTGAGCATACCGGAGGTCGGCGACGCTCGGAACAAGCGGCAACGCAACCCGCGGCACGACAAACTCACGCCCGTTCCCGACAGTTTCCTCTCCAAACACATGCAGAACGCGTCAGATCAGCACAACAGCGTGGACCCACGTCAGCTGGTACGCACACATGCACTCACACACTCACGGGCCTGTTTCTGCCACACATGGAAGGTTTACACAGCGTACGCATGTGTATGGATGTATGCGAGTGCGTGCTTGTGGATACACTTGTGTTCATGTGCATGCATTTGAACGTGTGTGTATGCACACGTGTGTGTGTGTGTATGGCTGGTGCAGCTGCTGCCTGGTGGAGGCCTCAACACACCCTACCCCGGATCCATGACCCCCAGCGGCCTAATGACCCCAGGAGCCGGGGAGCTGGACATGCGCAAGATCGGCCAGGCCAGAAACACGCTCATGGACATGCGTCTCAGCCAGGTACCCTCCACCACCACACGACACTCCTCCACCGCTACACGACACTTCTATACCGCCGCGGTGGCGATGATTAATTATTTGGGGGGGCGGATGGCGCCGATTGTGTGTGCGCTTCCGCAGGTGTCAGACTCTGTGAGTGGACAGACGGTTGTGGACCCCAAGGGTTACCTCACCGATCTCAACTCCATGATCCCCACCTACGGGGGCGACATCAAGTGAGTGTGTGCGCACGTGGTTGTGTG